CGGCGTTTCACAAGTGACCACGCGGAACTCGGAGCGAGCGGAGGAGCGCCGACCTGCCCGGTGTGACGCAGCTCGCCCCCGGCCCAAAACGCGCGCGAGATCCCACTCTCGCGCGAGTCGCGCAGGACGCCGGACAGCCGTCCTCTTCGCGCCGGCTAGCCGGCGCGGCGCTGGCCGCGGTGGCGCGCGCTCCTTGCGGAGTACGCGCCGACGCGCGGCCGGCCGCCGTCGGCCACGTGCCGGTACCTACACGCGGGCCAACTGCAGCCTCCATTGTTGAAATCCCGGCAGATCGGCGTGTCGTCCTCGTCGTCGTTGTCGTCGTCGTCGTCGTCGCGTCGTCGTCGTCGTCGCTTCCGTCGTGCGTCGTGCTTCCGGTGCTTGGTGCCGATAATACTCGTTCTCGCAGACCTGGCACCGCGGGCCTTCGTGCCCTTCGTTGCATACGTCGCCCGCGGAGAAGGGGCCCGCGACCGTGCCGTTGACCTCGGGGCTCCAGCCCACGCACGCGTTCTTGTAGACGCACTCGTAGGTGTGGCTCGTGTTCATCGACATGCGCCACCAGTCCTTGTCCAGCGGCAGGCGCTCGAGCGTCGTCCCGGACGACACGCAGTCCGCGCCGTCGACGTCGGCGCAGGCCGCGCACGCGCCGTCCTTGAGGTACCAGCCCTCGACGCACGCGTCCTGCTCCGTCGCGCCGTAGTCGAGCGTCGTGTAGGGGTCCTCGCAGACGAGGCACTCCTCCTGGCCCTCCTCGGGCTGGTACGACCCCGGCGTGCAGGGCTGGCAGCCGTGCGAGCCGCCAGGCGAAAAAGTCCCGGCCTCGCAGGCGCGCGCCGCGCTGGACCCCTCGGCGCCCGTCACGTACTCGACGGCGAGCCTACGGCGGCAGTCGTAGCCAGACGCCGACGCGCTCGAGAGGCCGTACGTCGACGAGATCATGTCGCAGTCCGTCGGATCCGCCGTGTAGTCGGAGCACTGGTAGCCGCCGTACATGCTCGCCCCGTAGCCGTTGAAGTACAAGTAGATCCACTGATTGCTGAACTGGGACGACGCGGACCAGCAGAGCACGCCCGTGCCGGAGGCCTTGGACCACAAGTGGTAGCTGTCGTCGCAGATGTCGTATTCCGAGGCGTCCGTGAAGTCCGAGCCGGCCGCGACGTAGTCGTAGTCCCCGTTCCACTGGCTGTAGCCGCTGAACGTGAGGTACAGCGTCGACGGCAGGCAGTCGTCCGACGACGTCGCGTCCGATGACGTTGCGTCCGACGTCGTCGGCGACGCGACGACGGCTTCGCTCGACGCGCAACCGGACGCCGACGCGCTCGAGAGGCCGTACGTCGACGAGATCATGTCGCAGTCCGTCGGATCCGCCGTGTAGTCGGAGCACTGGTAGCCGCCGTACATGCTCGCCCCGTAGCCGTTGAAGTACAAGTAGATCCACTGATTGCTGAACTGGGACGACGCGGACCAGCAGAGCACGCCCGTGCCGGAGGCCTTGGACCACAGGTGGTAGAGTCAACTTCCCAATAAGCGAGGCAGACCCGTCGTTAATCGGGAAAAGTGCATTTACGGTCGCTACGACGCCGGGGGCGCCTAGTCTTACCCCGGGGACGCAGGGCCGAAGCCGGAGGCGTCGACGGACGCCATTTGCGCCGTCGGCCCCGGCCCCGGCCGGTCGGCCGGCCGGCCGGCCGGTCGTCGTCGTCGTCGTCGTCGTCGTCGTCGTCGTCGCGCGCGCGCGTGGAGATTATAGCGGAGACCAAGTCCATGGCGTCCTCGAACATGTTCTAGACCACCTCCATGAAGCCGCGCAGCGCCCAGGCACCGGTTTTGGTCTCGAGCGCCTCCTTGCCGCGCGAAGCGCGGGAGGAAAAATTCGGCGGGATCCAGTGCGCGTAGCGGTCCAGAACCGGCGCAGCTGCACGTGCCGCTCGCGCGCGGCGTGCAGGAGGTCGCGCCCTCGCCGGAGAACGAGCCTGCTCCGCGCAGCCGCCGCTGCCGCCGCCCGAGAGGCCGCTGCCACAGAGTCGCCGCACCCGCCCCGCGCGCCGCGCGGGAGAAAATTTCGACTTCGTCGCTGGCCAGCGCGTCGAAACGACCCTCGAGAACATGTGTGAGGTCAGGCTCGCAGCGCAGCAAGTCCACCGCGCGCAGCGCGCTGAGATGGTAGCGCCATGCTCTCACTGCTGTGGTATTTTTCGTCCGCACAACGTCGCCGGGGTAAAATCGGAGGTAACTCGATCGTTTTGGCAATGGGGCGCCGCCCCAAGCCCAAAACCGTCGAGTTACCTCCCCAGCTCGTCTAGGAACCGTCCGCGGACGTAGGATTCGCCCGGGGACGTCTTTACGTGCTAGCGGACGCCTTATTTGGAAGTTGACTCGGTAGCTGTCGTCGCAGATGTCGTATTCCGAGGCGTCCGTGAAGTCCGAGCCGGCCGCGACGTAGTCGTAGTCCCCGTTCCACGAGCTGTAGCCGCTGAACGTGAGGTACAGCGTCGACGGCAGGCAGTCGTCCGACGACGACGCGTCCGATGACGTCGCGTCCGACGTCGTCGGCGACGCGACGACGGCTTCGCTCGACGCGCAACCGGACGCCGACGCGCTCGAGAGGCCGTACGTCGACGAGATCATGTCGCAGTCCGTCGGATCCGCCGTGTAGTCGGAGCACTGGTAGCCGCCGTACATGCTCGCCCCGTAGCCGTTGAAGTACAAGTAGATCCACTGATTGCTGAACTGGGACGACGCGGACCAGCAGAGCACGCCCGTGCCGGAGGCCTTGGACCACAGGTGGTAGCTGTCGTCGCAGATGTCGTATTCCGAGGCGTCCGTGAAGTCCGAGCCGGCCGCGACGTAGTCGTAGTCCCCGTTCCACGAGCTGTAGCCGCTGAACGTGAGGTACAGCGTCGACGGCAGGCAGTCGTCCGACGACGTCGCGTCCGAGGACGTCGAGGAAGATGCGACGGGCGCGGTCGTCGGCCGCGGCGTCGGCGCAGGCGCGGGCGTCGACGCGGAAGCGACGGGCGCCGGCGTCGGCGAGGGAACTGGCATCGGTGTCGGCTTCCTCCACACCGGGGTAGCGACGGGCGTCGGCGTCGGCGCGGGGACGGGCGACGGTGTCGGCTTCTTCCACGGCGGGGTGAACGGTCCCGGGGCGGCGGCGCCGGTGGTCGGCGCCGCGGTCGGCGCGGCCGATTTGCTGGCGACGGCGACGACGACGACGGCCTCCGTCCCGACGGCCGCCTCCGTGCAGGTCGCGCTCCCGGCGGACGCCGCGTAAAATCCTGCAGGACATGGCGTGCAAGCGGCCGCCCGGTTATCCGAGTACGTGCCGGCGGGGCACGTGTAGAAGCCGCTCCGGTTCGGAAAGACGGCCGTGCCCGCGTAGGTGCCCACGCACGTCGTCGCACCCGCGTCGGACCAGTAGCCGTCGTCGCAGGCGCTGCAGTTCACCGCCCCCGCGGCCGCGTAGGTCCCCGGCGCGCAGACCTCGACGCCGGAGCCGTCCGGCAGCGCGCGCGTGCCCGCCTCGGCCTTGGTGCACGTCGCCGCGTCCGGCCCGAGGCTCCAGAAGCCCGACGCGCAGGCCTCGCAGGTCGCGAAATTGTAGCCGTCGGAGGGCGTCGTCGCGACGCGCGTGCCGTTGGGGCAGGAGCCGTCGAGGCAGCCGTCGCCGGAGAAGGGCTCGAGGCACTCGCAGGTGCCGCCGCCCCACGTGCCGTCGTCGCACGTCCCGCGCGAGACGCCGCTATTCTTCACGCCGCACGTGTCCGTGAGCCGCGGCGACTTGCGGTCCTCGTCGCCTCCCTCGGGGCACAAGTCGCAGCTCGTGCCGAAGAAGCCCGACTGGCATCGCTCGCAGTACGTACCCTCAAAGCCAACGAGGCATTCGCAGCTCGCCTCGGAGAAAGACACGGACGTCATCGTCGCGCCGACGGAGACGCGCGCGGTGTTGCAGATGCCGTTCGAGTTGCAGGGGCTCGTCGGCACGCAGTAGTCGCGAACGTAGAGGCGCAGGGTGCCGTCGCTGACGCCGGCGACGAGGTCGAGATCCCCGTCGCCGTCGACGTCCGCGAACGTCGGCGCGTAGCCCTCGAGCGCCGGGCCGGGCTCGTCGATATCCAACGCCTGGCCCGTGCCGCTGATCGTGCCCGCCTCGTTGCGGAACCAGAGGAGCTCGTCCGTGTCGCGGTCGCCGACGACGACGTCGATGAGGCCGTCGTTGTCGACGTCCGCGCACGCCGGGTTGTAAGCGTACGAATTCGTGCTGAAGGACACGGCCGAGAAGGGGTTCGCGTCGCCCGTGCGCATCACGTAGTTCGGGCTCGTGGGCGTGCCGACGTTCTCCGCGTAGGCGAGGGCCCCGGTGTCGGACTCCGCCGCGACGAGGTCCAGGTCGCCGTCGCCGTCGAAGTCGACGAGATACGGCGCGAGCGTGTTTCCGGTGTCGTAGGAGAAGAGGCCGTCGAAGGCGTGGCCCGAGTCGATCTTCGCGAAGCTCGGCGCCGTCGGGTCGCCATTGTTCTGGAAGTAATAGAGGCGGTGGTACATGTCGCCCGAGAGGAGGTCGTAGTCGTTATCCCCGTCGACGTCGCCGAACGTCGGCGTAAAGTCGCCCCAGGTACCCGCGTCGATGACGCCGACGATGTTGTTCGCCGCGCGCTCGAAAACCGGCACGGTCGCTGTCCCGATGTTCTCGAAGTAGTTGAAGAGCACGATCGAGTTGTCCCTTTGCTCGCCGATGGCGAGATCGAGATCTCCGTCTCCGTCCAAATCCGCGAGCGCGGGCGTCGCCTTGATGCCGACGTCGATGGCGTTGAAGGGGTCCTCGTAGGTCGTCGAGACGTAGTAAAAGGAGCTCGTCGTGTCCGACAGGGACCCGCTCTCGAGGAGCGCGAGCGCGCCCGTCGAGTAGGAGACGACGACGTCCGTCGCGTTGTCGTCGTCGAAGTCGTAGAAGACGGGCGACGAGTGCTCCGAGCCGTCGAAGCCCGCGAGCGGGTCGTCCGAGGGCTCCTCGAAGAGCGGGATCGTGGCCGAGCCGATGTTCTCCCGGTACCCGAGCCGCCCGTACCACGATCCGTCCTGGTACCCGAAGCCGATCAACAGATCAAAGTCGCCGTCGCCGTCGAGGTCTCCGAGAGAGGGGCTGCCGTAGTGCGCGGCGGTGACGATCTCCTCCGTCAGCGTCCAGGCGCCGTCCACGTTCTCGAATCTGTACAAGTTGAAGAACTTCTCGCCGAGGACGCAGTCGAGATCCCCGTCGAGGTCGAGGTCCGCGAAAGACGGCGACATGTACGAGTAGTCGCCGTTGCTAAGCGCGCCGTTGAACGGGTACGCCGCGTCGGAGCTCGGGACCTCTTCGAAGGTGCCGGTGCCGTCGTTCCGGAAGTAGCCCAGCGCCGCGTAGGAGCTGTAGCCGACGACGAGGTCCAGGTCGCCGTCGCCGTCCATGTCCGCGAGCGTCGGATTCAGGAACGCGGAGCTCGAGCCGACGGTGCCGCGCGCGACGAACGCGTCGCCGTCGCGCGCGTAGACCGCCATGGAGCTGCCGCTCACGAGCACGAGCTCGTCGACGCCGTCGCCGTCGACGTCGCCGAACGCAACCTTGCCGCCTTCCTCGCCGGCGGCCTTTGTTGTCAGCCCGCTGAGCAGCGTCGACGAGCTCGAGGCGAGCGATTTCATGTTGCCCCAGCAGTACGGCGCCTCGAGACCGCAGAACGCGCCGCCGGCTGCCGCCGCCGCGCCCCACAACAGCGACGCGATGAAGCGCGGCGCCATTGCGAGTCGAAGCCAGATGGAATGCAAACTGGAGTGCTGTCATGGTGGCCACAGCTTGACAACGGAAGGCAGGTGCAGTTCATCTTGAACCCAGCGGCGATGGTGGTGATGTCGACCGCCGAGCCGGACGCGATGTGCGCGACACCCACGCACGCGGAGCCGCAAGACGGTACTCCCGCGCCAGTCGCGCAACGGCCGCAAGACGCCGCGCCCGCGGAAGATGCGGCGCAAGACGCGGCGCCCGCGCAAGCCGCGCTGCAAGACGCGGCGCCCGCGGAGGACGCGCCGCCCGCGCAAGCCGCGCCGCAAGACGCGCCCAACGCCGCGCGAAACGCGACGGCGCAGGACGCCACGGCGCGAACTGCGGCGCCGACCCCGACGCCGCACGCCGCGGGCCCGGCGATCATGGACGCGCGCACGGCCCGCGCCAAGGGCCTCATGATGGAGCGGTGGCCGGCGACGACGGGCCTGGGCCACACGCTGCTGTGCTGGAGCGGCCGCGAGGAGAAGTCGCTCATGAAGTCCTTCAAGATGTGGGCGCGGCGCGTCGGCGGCGAGAAGGGCGGCAACGCGAAGAAGCGGGGCCTGCCCGCCGTGCTCTTCCCGGAGCAGGTCATGGCCTACGACGCGCGCGCCGCGGCCGGCGACGACGCCGGGCCCGTGTCGCGGCGCGGCGCCGTGCTCGAGGACCTGAACGCGCGGGGCTACGTCGTCGGCAGCGGCTGCCGCTACGGCGGCGACTACGTCATCTACAGGGCAGCAAAAGAGAGCGAGATTCCCAACTTCAAAGGCTCCTATCTCGGCCGTTTTCCACTCGTTTCGGCTGATTTTTGGACGAGCGATCATCTCTCGGAACGGTCTCGAAGCAGGGATGTTTTTTTCGGAACGCGCGCGCGCGGAACACTCACGTTGAAGCGACGTTGAATCACCCTTTTGCTGCCCAGGTCATCTACGCGCGCCACCCGGACGAGGCGCACAGCAGCCACACGGTCCGCGTCGTCGGCGAGGGCGAGGTCCTCGAGACGTCGGACATCGCGGCGCTGTGCCGCGTCCAGGGCAACGTGCTCAAGAAGGCGCTCTACGCGGCCGTCGAGCCGGCGACGCGGCGCGTGTCCTACCTCGAGCTCAGCTTCGACCCGCGCCTCTCGTCGGACCCGCTGAAGAAGCTCGAGCGGCGCCTCGCGAAGCGCATGCAGGACGAGACTAACGACGCCTAGGGGTCGTCCTTAGGCGCGTCCGCGCCCGCCTCGTCGACCTCGAGCTCGACGACGACGTCGTCGTCGTCGGGCGGCGCGCGGACGCCGCCGCGCTTCCGCGCGGCCTCGAGCCGCTCCCGGTCCGCCTCGGGGATGTCCGCGGCGAGCTGCATGACGTTCATGGCGGCGATGAGGCCGCAGAGGGGGATGTAGTACATGATCTTCATGTTCACGTACGACTGGCCGCTGAAGACGATCTCGACGCCCAGGATGTAGGAGAACGCGACGGTGAAGGACACGACCGCCGCGCACCAGAAGCCCGCGTTCGTCGCGACGCGCCGCGACGCGCTCGAGAAGTCGCGCGGGAAGCCGCGGAGGAGGCCGTTGTCGAAGACCGCGGGGTCGAGGTAGGGCAGCTTGCCGTTCTCGATGGGGCCCTTGTACCACGAGCACGCGAGCGACACGGCGACGGCCGCGAAGAGCGTGCTCCCGCACATGTCCGCGATGAGCTGGTCCCGCCCCTCGACGCGGTTCAGCCCGCCGTCGCCCTCGTTCATGTCGCCGTCGTAGAGGTAGCCGTAGGTGAACGCCGTCGACAGCGACGCGACGGCGAAGACCAGGGTCACGAAGACGACGCGGTGCGCCGCGGAGAAGCAGGCGAAGACCTTGCCGACGGTGTCGACCATGACCGTCGTGACGACCTTCTCGTCGAGCCGGAAGTGCGCGCGCTCGTTCTCCTCCGCGCCGCCCTTCTGCCGCTCGTACGCCGCCAAAATCTCCGGCGGGATCGTCGTCGAGCCCTGGATCATGCCCACGGCGATGACGTTCCAGCCGAAGAAGCCGCCGATGACGGCCTGGTAGACGCTGTAGAGGTAGCCGTTCATCTTGTCGTCGTCCTGGTCCTTGCCGACCATGAGCCACAGGATGAGAACCAGGACGACGACGGAGCTGCCCATGACCACGGTCCAGAAGAGCGCCGTCACGAGCGACGCCGCCGCCGACGACCCCCGCGGCACGTACTTCAGCGCGCCCTCGTCGAGGACCGACGGGTGGAGGAAGGGGATGATCTGCTTCTTCTCCTTGTTCTTCGCGCGCGCCTTGAAGTGGCCGATGGCCGTGACGATCCAGCCGAGCATGAAGGCCTTGGAGTAGGTCTCCGTGACGACGGACGTGAAGTCGACGCGGTCGATGTCGCCGCTGTAGCCGCGGTAGTTGTAGATGGTCACGAGCAGGTCGAAGAGCGCCTGGAACACGGCCGTGCCCACGAGCTCCTTGCCGACGTCCTCCAGCTCGAAGTACTCCTTCAGGTCCGTCAGAATCTCCACCTCCTGCTCCGTCTTCTGCTGGGACACGACGCCCTCGCTCGCCCACGCCGGCGACGCGTCGTCGTCGTTGCCCATCTGGCTGCCCGGCTTGGCCCAGTCCGGCGTCTCGATGTCCGCCGACATGGCGGCGGTTGCGCGACGGCCGCGACGCCGAGCCGCGCGTTCCTTCGTGCAGCGACTAGCCGGGTGCAACGCGCGGCGCGGGCAGTGGAAGCCGCCGCTGCGACAATGCTGCCATAAGAAACAGCCTGGACTTTTGGCGTCGCGGTGCGTGCAAAGATTGTTGATCAAGTAAAGCTCGGCGCTCTCCCAGAGTTTGGGCCCGACGCACCGGCGCGGCGCTCGAGGTCGTAGACGCGCCGTTCGCATCGCTGCGGCGCTCTCCCAGAGTTTGGGCCCGACGCACCGGCGCGGCGCTCGAGGTCGTAGACGCGCCGTTTGCATCGCTGCAAAACCGCTGTCATGCGCGTCGCACCACTCCTCGCACTCGTCGCCGCCGCAGCTGCTCTCGCGCCGCCCGTGGTGCGCGCGCCGCGCTCCGCGGCGCGCAGCCGAGGCTCCACCTCGCCGCCGCGCGTCGGCGCCGCCGCCGTCCGGAGGCGACCGGCGCTCCTCGCGGCGGAGGGCGACGACGAGTCCGAGTCCGCGGCCGGCAAGTGGGGCAAGCTCCTCTTCATCCTCGGCCCCTTCCTCGTCGGCGCGCTGGACACGGTGCACCCCGAGTGGTTCCGCGGCTGGTTCTAATCCGCGGTCCAATCGGAGGCTGGTGCTGCACCCCGGCGGTCCCCGCGCGCCGCGGGCTAGGGCGCCTTATGCCGCGCCGCGAAAAGCTTCTCGGCGGCGTCGCTGCGGCCGCAGTCCGCGTAGTAGGACATGAGGTCCTCGTAGAGGCGGCCGTAGAACTTCTTGTTGTCCTGGGGGTTGATGCCCGACTTCTGGCGGATGTTGTTTTTGAGGATGCGCGCCATGACCTTCCAGAACAGGTACCGCGGCCCGGCCTTGACGAGGTGGGGCGCGTTGTAGCGCATGTTGAACATGACGTTGGGCCCCGGCTCCGTCCAGACGGCGTGGCACCACGACGGGCCGAAGTAGAGGACGTCGCCCGGCCGCTGCTTGACGACGTGGACGTGCCGCACGCGCGCGAGGAGCTCGTCGTCCGTGTGGGGGAAGGCGAAGAACGTGGGCATGGGCGTCGCCGGGATGTCCTTGAGGTCGTCGGGCGCCACGAAGTACCAGGTCTTCGTCCCGACGAGCTGCACGACGACGGAGTCGATGGGCGCGCAGTGCAGCGCCGCGGACGCCGTGCCGTTCGCAAAGTTCGACGTGAAGAGCTGGTTCAGGCGATAGTCGCGGCCGCCGAGCTCCGTGATGTCGACGCCGACGACCTCCGCGACGGCGTCCGCGTCCGTGATCGCCTCGAAGCCCGCGTACAGCGCGGAGCTGTTGCGGGACACGTTCGAGAACAGGTGCGCCCGCGCGTACTCGTCGAAGCCGACGACGACGTCCGGAATGTTCCGCATGCAGGAACTCGAGAAGTGGGGGCCTAGGACGTGCGCGGTTCGACGCGCGGGGACGCGAGGCGCCGCGGCGCGCCGGATTCGATGGCCTCCGTGTAGTCGAGCATGCGCATCGTCCGTCCCGCGTTGCGCTCCGCCAGGTACGCGACGATGGCGTCCTGGTCCCGCGCGACGACGTTGCGCAGCAGCTTCGGGTAGCCCCGCGGGTCGAAGGCCGCGGACAGGTCCTCGCCGTCCTCGAGCGCGATTGGCCGCGCGTAGGTGATGTGAGGCAGGTGGACGTCGCCAGCGTTTGTGTTGACCTTCTCGCGGGGATAGAGGCAGCGCAACAGCAGATCGTCGACAGGTTTCGGCAATACGGTGATGACGGCGTCGTGAAAGTAGTAGAGGATCCCGAGCAGGACCAGGCCCACGGAGCCTCGACGCCCCATCGTCACAGCCCGGGCAGCCTCGTTGAAGAACAACTTGAAGATCAATGAGAAAAACCTTTTACAAAAGGCCGCCCCCCGCCCTAGCGGTCGGCGGAGAGCTGGCCGCCCGTGACGCGGGTGAAGGTGAGGACGACGACGGGCTTGCGGTTCTCGTTCTCGTCCAGCACGAAGTTGGAGTAGACGAACTCGCTGTCGCTGCGGAACTCGCGGGAGAAGCCGTCGAAGCCGCCGGACGCGTCGGGCTTCGTGATGGTTGTCGCGAGCGTCGCGCCGTCCCAGGCGTGGGTGCCCGGCGCCACGTAGCCCGACGTGAGGACCGCGCGCTCCGGCGGGTAGCGCGCGTCGCCGCAGTCGACGCGCAGGTGCGTCGTGAAGCTCGGCAGCCCCGTCTGGCGCACGGTGACGCGGTCGCCGTGCACGTCAAAGTACTGGCGCAGGTGGCCGACGTTGCGGCCCAGGACGTACGCCGCGAGCCTGATCGCGACCCACGACCGGCCGTTGAGCCGCATGTGGGCCGCGCCGTCGTTGCCGACGTCGGCCGCCGTGAGCACCCACTCGCCCTGGAGCTTCGCCTTCAGCGAGCGGCGGTTCCGGTCCGGTGCGCTCAGGCGCGGCGCCGGCGCGAGGAGCCGGTCGTCCTCGGGCCCGTCCTCGTCGCCCTCGACGGAGTCGAACCAGAAGGTCTCGTCGCACCAGAGCGCGCCGGACTTGGGGTCCAGTGGGAAGAGCCGGTCCAGCGTCGACTCGAGCAGCACGTTCTCCACGAGCGTGCTCGGCCGCGGCGGGTCGTGGACGCTGCTGTAGACGACCTCGCGCTGGACGTCGTCGCAGCAGGCCCGCTCCCGCGGGTAGGTGCAGCTCGGCAGGCTCGACCCGAACCATGACCGCGTCCGCGCCATGCCCAGCATCGTCCGCGACGCGGGCGCGCGAGCACAAACAGCAGATCCAGGCGACGAGGGCTGCGAGAAACCTATTTTATTGCCGTTCAACTTTCCCGGCAACAAAAAGCCAACGCTCGGGCTGGGCGCGCGGTCCGCGGGCGTCGGCGGCGCACCAGCGCTCGAACGCCATGAAGCGCGGCTCGAGCGTCCCGAAATTCGACATCACGAAGCTCGAGGCGCGAAAGGTCGAGGAGGAGGTCGTCATCCACAGCCCGCATCACGAGGAGAAGGAGGCCATGCTCCGGTCCAAGGCCGCGCGGCGCCGCGCCGCGATCCGTTTTTTGGCGCGCTTCGCCGATTGCCCGCGGCGCCGCGGACGCGCGGAACGACGCCGCCCGCAGGTGCGCATGACCGCGATCCGCCGCGCGAACGACATCCGCCAGAACGTCAAGCAGCAGATCATCGAGAACCTCCTCGAGACGAGCGGCTACGAGAGACACGACGAGGGGAGCTACGCGAGCTAACACGTATCACCAGCTCCGCGCGAGCCAGTCGGCGACGGCGGCGGGGTCCTTCGCGTCTCCGCGGAACGCGAAGAGCCGCGGCGGCTCCTCCCCCGGCGCGCCGGCGAGGACCCGGGCGACCTTGAGCGGCGAGACGTGGGTCGCGACGAGCTTCGCGAGGGCCGCGGCCGACGCCGGCGACAGCGCGTCGTCCTCCGGCGCGCGCGCGCGCGCGTTGCAGGGCCCGAGCGCGCGGCCCGCGGCGCCGTCGAGCGCGCGGCGGCGGTTCAGGGCGATGCAGTCGACGGCCCGGGTCTCCGGGAGCGGCAGCCCGAGGCGCCGCAGCGTGAAGTCGAGCGCCGACTCGTTGGCCGCGTCGCGCGGCGCGAGCGGCGGCGGCGGAGCCCGCTCCGTCCGCTTTCTCGTCCAGGGAAAGAGCGCGCGCCGGGGCGGGTCGTCGTCGAGGTAGCGGAAGGGCACGACGGCGAACTGGGACGGCGCGAGCGCGGCGAACCACGCGCGCAGGTGGTCCGCGTACTTGGACCCCGCGAAAGGCCCCCAGACCTGCGCGGCTCGCGTCCGCCGCGCGCGCGAAAGAGGCGCCCGACGCCGCCCGGGACGTGCGAGAACGGGTCGCGGCCGCCGCGCTTCGCGAGGTAGGCCACGTACTGCTCCAGCGTCTCCACGCGGTCCGCCTTGGACTTCTCCCGGCGCCACCCCGCGCGGACCCAGTTGTGGAACGCGGACGCCGTGCGCCCGACGGGGTCCCGGAGCAGGACCGTGAACGAGAGCCGCGGCGCCAGAGCGCCGTACTGCGCCACGATCTTCGGCGCGGCGTCCACGTAGAGCACGGGCGTCGCGTCGAGGCCCACGCGCCGCGCGGCGGCGCCCGAACGGAGCTCGACGGTCGCGAGGCCGCCGCGGGCCCGGGCGGCCGCGACGGCGGCCGCGACGTCCGCCGCGCCGGCCTTCCGTTCGCAGGCGGGGTAGCGCCGCAGCCACTCCTCGCGGAGCACGGGCCCGTCGAAGACGTGCGGCTCCTTCCGGGCGCCCGCGGACGCGCCCTCGGGCAGCACGATCGACGGCTGCGCCGCGAGCGCGGACGCGAAGGTCGTCGTGCCCGCCTTCTGGGCGCCGATGACGAAGTGCTCCGGCGCGAGCCGCCCGTCGAGGCAGAGGCCGCGCCGCGCGGCCGCCGCGCGGCGCTCGCGCCGCGCGACGTCGCCGCAGCGCCGCAGCGCTCTGGCCGCGTCGCCAAAGTCCACGTCCTCGAGGGCCACGCAGCGCAGCGCGGCGCGCAGGGCGCCCGTCCCGTCGTCGTCGGGCGCGCGGAGGAACGTGCCGTTCCTCGCGGCCCAGCTCGCCGCGTCGACGCGGCGGAACGCGACGGCGTCCGCCGCGAGCCGCGCGCCGCCGGGCGCGCCGGCGGACGTGAAGACGACGTCGCGCCGCGTCCCGTTGCCCGGCGAAGCGGGGAAGACCTTCTCCAGCTTGGCGAAGTCCCTGCGCTCCGCCGCGGCGTAGCTGACGGTGATGGACCCGACGAAGCCGCGGCCGCGCCGCCGCAGCGCGAAGAGCGCGTAGGGCAGGGCGTAGTAGACGTCCGCGGCCGTGGCCTCGATGACGACGTCGATGCCCGCCTCGTCGCCGACGCTGCCACCCAGGAGCAGCAGCAGCAGCGGCGACCATCGACTCATGCTTGGGCAGCTTTTAAAAGGTGCAACAATGCTACTTCAAGGCGAGTGCAAAGCTGCAACACCTACTTCGAGGCGCGTGCAACTGTCATTCTTTTTGGGGACCGTCGAAGAGCCCGGCCTTTTGCGGTCTTGCGCTGGCTACGTCGGACATGCGCGGCGTCGCGGAGGCACGCCTCGCAGCTTCGACGACCTCGTGGCGGCCGCCGCCGCGACGGCGCGCCGCGCCGCGGACGAGCGCCGCGCGTCGCCCGCCTCGCATACGAAACGCCCGCCGGGACCACACTTGCACACATTACAGCGGAGCCCCTAGAACCAGGGCGACGGCGCCTCGTCGACGCGCTCCATGCGCAACCGGAACGCCGCGCCCGTGTCCAAGTTCGCCACGGTGACGAGCAGCTCGTCGCCGACGATCTCGTACCTCGCCATGCCGTTGTTGCCCTTGCCGTTGCACGTGGTGACGCTGCGCACCTCGACGGCGCCGCCCACGAGCGACCCGCGCTTCGTGATCGCGTGGCCGAGCGCGTTGCGGTCCGAGACCTCGGAGCCGTCGAGCGGCACGGGCAGGTTCACCTTGTCCTTGAGCAGGCCGTGCTCCGTGCGGTAGAACATGTTGTCGTGGATGCCCATGGTCATGGTCGCGCCGACGCCGCTCAGGCGCTCGACGATCTCGCCGAGGATACGGGGCAGCCCCGCGTCGTTGAGGAACTGCTTGAAATCGCCCGTGCGCTCGACGCAGCGGAACGTCTTGGTCTGCCAGGCGTCCTGGACGGCAAAGTCTTTGCGGTGCATCGTCACGGTCGTCGCAACCATGGTGGCCATAGTAGGTAATCAGGATAAGCAATACCTTTCCAACCACGAAGGAATTCTCCGTCAGCCAGGTGGGAGACGCTTGATTGTGGTTTTAGAAATGAGGAACTTGACATCGTGCTGCCAAGTAAAACTGCACTGTGTGCTGCACTTGAGGTCTCGTTGAGGCATAGCGATGGCCCAGCTCTCCGCCGCCGAGCCCCAGCTCGACGCCTCAGCCGCAGCACCACCACCGGCCTTGCCCGGCTTCGGCGCGTCGTCCGCGTGCTGGAAGTGCAAGGGCGCCGGCACGCGGCTCAAGCCGAAGATGGGCGCGCGCCAGCGGAAGCGCATGGCCGAGGGCGCGGAGGACGACGGGTCGTGTGGCGTCTGCGGCGGCAGCGGGCTCGCGCCGCGGAGCGGGAAGCTGAGCAAGGCCGCGAAGAAGCCCGGCCGCGTGACGGCGCCGCGGTCCGAGGCGTCGACGCGCCGGGGCCCGCGGCCCGCGGGCGTCGGCGCGCCCGGCCCCGGCGAGGAGCTCTGCTGCTTGAGCGGCGCGTGGCGCGTCTTCCAGCGCGTCGGCGGCCACCGCTACTCGACGGAGGACGTCGTCACGGCCTGGGTCGCGAGCGGCGAGGTCGCGGGGCGCGTCCGCCACGTCGACGTCGGCTGCGGAATCGGGAGCGTCTTGCAGCTCGTCGCGTGGAAGTGCCTCGAGGCGGGCGTCGACTACGAGGGCCGCGGCGTCGAGGCCCAGGTCGACTCGGCGACCCTCGCGCGGCGGTCCATCGCCTACAACGGCGCGCCCTGTGCCGTGGTCGACGGCGACCTCCGCGACGCGCGCGGCTTTTCCGAGCTCCACGAGGGGTGCGAAGCCGCCCAGCGGATCGTCACGGGCACGCCGCCCTACTTCAACGTCGCCTTCGACGGGTCCGGCGCGGCGTCGACGACCTTCGGCGCCTTCCCGAACTGCGAGCAGTCCGCGGGCGCGCGCTACGAGTTCCGGGGCGGCGTCGAGGCCTACTGCGCCGCCGGCGCGCGGCTCCTCCGCGGCGGCGCGGCGGGCGACCGCTTCGTCTGCTGCGAGGGCGGGCTCCACGTCAACCTGGCGCGCGTCGCGGCGGCGGCGAAGGCAAACGGGCTCGCCATCCTGCGCCACCTGCCCGTCGTCGGCCGCGAGGGGAAGCCGCCGCTCTTCGGCGTCTGGGTGCTGCGCCTCGCGGCGCCCGGCGACGACGCCGCCGCGGCCGTCGCGCCGGACGCGCCCCTCGTCGTGCGCGACGCCCAGGGCGCGCGCACGCCCGCCTACGCGCGCGTCCTCGCGGACCTGGCGATGGTGTAAACGGAGCGGACGGCGCGCGCGCCTCAGGGCTGGAGGGGCTGCGCGCGCGAGTCCAGGGAGAGGGGCTTGCCGAGGACCGCGAGGAGGGGCGCGAGCTCGGCCTTGAGGATGGCGGCCTCGTCGCCCGTGGCCGTGCCCAGCAGGCTCGCGTACTCGTCCGTCGCCTCGACGACCTTGTTCTGCTTCGCGAGGACGCGCGCGAGGGCCAGTTTCGCGTGCTTCGTGAAGTCGCCGTAGGGCAGCGCGGCCGCCGCCGCGAGGACCTCCGCCGCCACCGTGAGGCGGTCGACCTCGGCGAAGGCGACGCCGACGTCCGTCAATATGTTGCCGTCGTCGAGGAAGAGGTTCTTCGCCTGGTCGAGGCAACTCGCGGCCTGGTCGATCCGTTTCGAGTCGCCGAGGACGTACTGGCCCAGGTTCGCGAGGACGAGGTAGCCCCAGGTCTCGGCGCTGTCCGGGTTCCGGATGTTCGCCTCCGTGAGCGCCGCCTCGGCCTCCGCGTGCTCCCCCAAGAGGATGAACGCGCGCGCGGCCATGATCCACGGCACCGCGTTCTTCCCCCGCTGGCACGCGATGATCGCCACGTCCTTGGCCAGGTCCAGGTCGCCCTGCAGGATGGCCAGATCGCAGACGCGGCAGAAGAGCCAGAGCGGCGCCGGCTCCGGCGACTCCGGCGCGTTGAGCAGCGCGAGCGCGCGGGCTAAAGTGCCCGCGGCGTCCGCCGTCCGCCGCGCGGCGTCGTGGACGAGGCCCAGCGCGAGCCAGGCGCGGCCCAGGTCCGGCGCCGCGTAGGTCGCCTTCGTCGCGACGACCTCCGCCGGGCCCAGCTCCCCCGCGGCGAGCAGGAGGAACGCGCGCTCCGCGTCGAGCTCCGCGCGGAGCTCGGGCGGCGTGAAGCTGTCGCGGAGCGGGCCGGCGACGCGCGCGAGCGCCGACGCGCGCGCTTCGCCCGCGAGGGCCAAATCCAAAGCCTTGGTCGCGCAGGCCGTGAGCCCGAAGCCGTGGAGCCACGTCGCGGCCGCGAGGCCGACGTACGCGCGGCCCCGCGCGCCGTCCTGGCCCGGCGTGTTGTTCGCCCGGGCCGCTTTCTCGAGCGTGCGCCGCGCCTTGGGGAGGTCGCCGTCGGCGACGTCGACGACGGCGAGGAGCGTCGTCGTGAGCACGGCCGCGTCCGCGGCGCCCTCTTTCAGGGACTCCGCGGACGGGTCCAAAGCTTCTTCCAGCACGCAGCGCGCGCCCTTCGCGTCGCCGGCCTCCAACAACGCCGCGCCGTAGACCGCCAGGGCGCCGTCGTGGGCGCAGTCGAGGGCCAGCGCCTCCTTGAGGTGCGCGAGCACGGGACCGAGCGCGGCGCCGTCGAGGCGCCGGCCCAAACACCGGCCCGCGGCGAGCCCCGCGGCGCGGTAGCAGTTGCCCAGGACGAAGGCGAGCCCCTTGGCCTCGGCGGGGAAGAGGCCGATCTGCTGCTTGATGTGCTCAAAGGCCTCGGCGAAGTGCGCGGCCGCGCGCGCGACGTCGCCCTGGCCCTCGAAATCCTCGCACTTCATCAGCACCTTCTCCACGAAGACCTTGCACTTGACGACGGCCTTGTCGTCGTCGTCGTCGTGCTCCTCGACGAAGGGCGACGGCTTCGACTCCGGCTCCTGGTTCGACTCGGCGTCGCGGAACCGCTTGTTCGTGACCTCGATGACGTTCGTGACGAGCTCCGCGTAGACCGCGTTCAAAAAACGGTCGTACTCGCCGAGCTCGCGCCAGTCGTCGCAGTCGCGGTGGGGCGTCGTCGGCGCGTCGGGGAAGTACTTGCGCACGACGCGCTGGATGCAGGGCTTGAGCCGCTCCTTGAAGGCGTGGTAGGGCCCGAGAATCTTGCCGCCGACGTCCGCGGGCTCGAGCGTGCCCGTGTTCAAACCGTAGAGCCACTGGCGCTCGTCGAAGTCCTCGACGGGCGCTTTGCCCGTCGGGTCCTTGGAGATGATGATCTTTGCCATCTCCTCGCTGAGCGTCGTGACGACGTCGTCGATCTCGTCCTTGAACTCGACCTTGAAGTCGCGCGGGCCCGCGGTGCCGCAGAGCGACGCGATTTTGGTCTTCGGGACGAGGCCCTCGTAGGTCGGTTTTGAGGATGGGTCGACGGGCGCCACGAGGGGCTTCGAGAGCGTCAGGCCGAGGGCGAGCTCCGTGCCGTGGTCGTCGAGCAATTCGCTGAGGTGCTTCGCGGGCTCGGGTTCGGGCTCCGGCTCCGCGTCCTCGGCGCCGTCCGCGGCCTCCGCGGGCGGCTCGCCGGTCTCGCCGGGGTCCTCCAACGACGTCTGGGCCAGGCTCTCCCCAGCGGACTCCTCGGCGTCGGGCAGGTCCGGCGCGGGCGGCGGCGGCGCGACGACGGCGCCGGACGCGTCGAGATTGGAAGCGCCGCCCCAGAAGCCCTTCGCGTCGAGCGTCACCGTCGCCGTCTCCACGGTCGGCTCGGGCGCCGGGGCCTCCGGGTCGACCTCGGCCTCCGGGTCCGGCGGCGGCGGCGGGACTTTTCGCGCGATCTCGAAGACGAGCTCGGGCTCGCCGGCCGCCGCGGCGGCCGCGAGCGCGACGCACGTCTCCCGCGGCAGGAAGAGCGACGGCGCCGCGTCGCTCCAGGCCGCGCGGTACCCGACGAAGGGCGGCGGCGGCTCCTCGGCGGGCTCCGCGTCCTCCCCGGCGGGCGGGTCCGACGGCGCGGCCGACGCCGCCGCCGCGGACGCGTCGTCGCCGCCGTCACCGGGCTCCGGGGCCTCGCCGCCGTCCTCGGTCTCCTCCGGCGGCGGCGGCGTCTCGTCGACGAAGGCGAGGCGCGCGGCCCCGAGGTCGAGGTCGCCCGGCAGCGGCGGCGCCGCGCCGTCGCCGACGACGCGGAGGTCGAACGCGAAGGGCGACAGGTCCTCGGGCTCCGGCTCGTCGCCCGCGGCCTCGAGCTCCTCGGCGCTCTTCGGCGCGGGGCACCAGGCGCCCGGCGGCGGCTTCGTGAGGACCGCCGTAGCGACGCGGAGCACGCGCGCGCCGTCGAGGTAGTCCGTGAGCTCCTCGTCCAAAGCGAAGCGCGCTTTCAAGACCCCCGGCGACGGCGCGGGCTCCGCGTCCTCCTCGGCGGGCGCCGGCGCGACGATGGGCGCATCGACCTCGAAGACGGGCAGGCCCGCGGCGACGGCGCCGTAGAGCGGCACCGTCGCGGCGCCGACCGTCGCGAACTCGGGCTCGTCCGCGTCGCCGCGCGCGACGTCGACGTCCACCACCAAGACCGTGCGGAGCAGGCCGTCGACGGGGCCGAAGGCGAGCTCCAGGGGCGCCGCGGGGATGGACATGGCCTTGCCGAAGAAGACCGTCGCCGCCGTCGGCTCGACCTCGCCCTCGACGGCGTCCGTCGTCGTGTCGGCCCAGGTCTCGGCGGGTGCGCCGCCGCACTCGCAGCGGATGCGCAGCTTGAGCGCGAGCTTCTCGGGCGCCGCATCCTCACCCGGGGGCTCGAGGCCGACGAGGGCGACGCTCGACGGCTCGAAGCGCAGGCCGCCGGGTGCGCCCATATTGCTTGAAAGCGTTTTGACAGCGGCGCTGCCCAAGATATGTTGTCCGTGTAACGCAAACTTATTCACGGCGCTCTCTGGCCGGCCAGCTCTCGGGCGCCACACAGAAGTCGACTAGTGCGCGGCGAACCATGGCGTCGACGAAGGTCATGGTGCGCGACAAGGTCGCCGCGGAGCGCGGGGGGCAGCTCCTGACGCTCGACGGCGCCATGGCCCACGCCCTGACCCTGAACCTGAGCGACCGGAACCTGAGCGACGGCGACTGCAAGCACATGGCATCGACACTCCTCGACGAGCTCCGGCGGCGCTTCCAGGAGGTGACCCTCATGCGGAACCGGTCCGCGCTCCTCGAGGTGAACATCAAGCTCCAGGACAACGCCATCGGCGACCGGGGCTGCTCCGCGCTCGTCACCACGCTGCTGCTCACGTCGGGCATCGCGCGGATCAAGAGCCTCCTCCTCCACAACAACCGCATCTCCGACGAGGGCGCCCTGCGCGTCGCGGAGCTGCTCGAGAAGGCGAAGCACCCCGTCGGCGAGGTGCGCCTCGGCGGGAACCCGGCCGTGACGGGCCGCGGCGCGCGCGCGGTCCTCGACGCGGCGCGGCGGCGCGACACGTTCGCGTCGCTGCCGCGGGGCCCCGCGTCGCAGGCGCCGGCCTCCGGCGGCGCCAGCGCCCGGGGCTACGCCGCCGGCGCGCGCTTCTCCCGGCCGAACCCGCACCGGCCCCTGTTCCGGGGCGACGGCGCGCGGCTGTGGCTCCGCGTCGCGGAATTGGACCCGCCGCTCCGGGACGACGAGCTGGCGAACCTCGCCGAGCGCATCGTCGAGGAGGTCACGAAGAAGCGGGAGACGGCGCGCCTGCCGACGACGGGCACGCTCTTCGAGCTGCGCCTGGACCTCCAGGGCGGCGACGTCGCGGACGACGGCGTCCGCGGCCTCGTCGACGCGCTCGCGTCGCTCCGCGACGTCGCCTACGTGCGCGACCTGCGGCTCTACAAGAACCGCGTCGGCGACGGCGGCGCGGCGGCCCTCGCGGAGCTGCTGCAGACCCAGCGCAAGCCCATGGAGGAGCTCCACCTCAGCGACAATCGCGTCACGGACCGCGGCGTCGCGACGCTCCTCGAGGCGGCCCACGCCGTCTACCCCGTCGGCGGCGACGCGCGGCGCCGGGGCTGGCCGCTCTGGCTGAACCTGGAGCGCAACGGCGTCCGCGACGCGCGGCGGTGCCTCGCGGACGCCGCGAAGCGCCTGCGGTGCGGCGTCTGCCTCGCCGAGAAGCGCGCGTGCCGGCGCGACGTCTGCGCCGGGGCCTCCGGCGTCGCGACGGCGGTCCACATGCGCGGCTTCCTGAACCAGGACGCGGCGCCGCGGCTCTGGGACCCGGAGGACGACGCGCCGCCGCCGCCGCGGCGGCCCGCGCGCGACGCGGCGCCGCCGCCGCCGCGCGCGGACCCGGGCCCGCCGCCGCGGCCGCGCATGGCGCCGCGGGGCGGCCAGCTGCTGGCGCCCGACGGCGCCGGCGGCGTCGTGCTCCGCCTCGTCGGCGAGTCGCCGCCGCTCCGCGACGAGGACGCCATCTCCGTCGCGCTGTCGATCACCGTCGAGGTCCGCGAGCGCGCGGCGGGTTTCGGCGAGCCCCTGGCCATGGCCATCCACCTCGACGACAACGCGTTGGGCGACTACGGCGCCATCGCCATCGCCGGCGCGCTCCTGGACGTGTCGACGCTCGTCCGGGTCACGAAGCTGTCGCTCGCGCGGAACCGCATCGGCGACCAGGGCGCGCGCGGCGTCGCGGACCTCGTCGAGAGCCTCGACGAGCCCATCGCCGACGTCGACCTGTCGCACAACCGGCTCACGAAGTGCGACACCCTCGTCACGGCGGCCGCGGGCCGCTACCCGGCGCCGGGGAGAACCGGGAAGCGAAGGCCGCTCAAGCTCCGCGTGTCGCACAACCTCATCCCCCTCGACGACCTCCACCGCACGATCCACCTCGCGAAGAAGCTCGGGCTGCCCCTCTGCTTCGAGGAGAAGTTCGCCGGCGCGCCGCCGGGCTGCGCGCTCCACCTCGCCGACTTCATGACGCAGGCCGACGACCCCTCGGCGCTCGAGCCGCGCGGCCGGCCGCCCGCGAAGCCGCCGGCGCCCAAGCCCGCGCCGCAAAAGCCCGCGCCGCAAAAGCCCGCGCCGGCGCCGAAGAAGCCCGCCGAGCCCACGTCCGTGCTCGCGCGGAAGAAGAAGCCCGCGCCGCCGCCGGAGCCCGTGGACGACGGGCCCGGCGACGACGAGACCGACGAGGAGAAGGCCCTCGAGGCCCAGATCGCGGCCCTCCAGTCCCAGCTCGCCCAGAAGAAGCGGGCCAAGAGCCCCGCGCCGCCGAAGCGGGCCAAGAGCCCCGCGCCGCCGAAGCGCGACGCGGCGCCGCCGCGCGCGCGGACGCCGCCGCGGGCCGCGAGCCCGCCGCCGCGGCCCGCGACGCCCGACGACGACGACGACGTGCCCGGCGCCGAGCCGCTCGTCGCGGACGCGGCGCCGCTCCTCGGCCGCATCGCCGCGGGCCGCGGCGTCGCGGACGCCGCCGCGGCGCCGCAAAAGCCCAAGGCCGCGCCCAAGGCCGCGCCCAAGCCCAAGCCGCCCGGGTCCGGCCCCCTCGTCGGCGCGTCCATGCGCACCTACGGCTACAGCGAGAAGCACGCCAAGTGGATCGAGGGCGCGTTCCTTCCAGGGCGGGAAAAGAGAGCGAAATTCCCAACTTCAAAGGCTCCTATCTCGGCCGTTTTCCACTCGTTTTGGCTGATTTTTGGACGAGCGATCATCTCTCGGAACGATCTCGAAGCGTGGATGTTTTCTTTCCGGGAACGCGCGCGCACGAACCACTTATGATGAAGCGACGTTGAATCACTCTGTTCCTGCCCAGGTTCCTCCGGTGCGAAAAGCGCGCGCCGCTCGGCGCCGACGGCGAGAGCTGGGTGCTCTTCGAGCCGTCGGACGTCTACAAGTACGGCCTCCGCGGGTCCCTCCAGCCCGCGGAGCAGCGGAGCCTGCAGGACCGCATGCTCCGCAAGGGCTGCGTGTCCATCGTCACCGTCGCGCCGCGGAAAGATTCGACGGCCGTGTCCGTCCTCGCGTGTCTGGAGTCGCTCCAGGACTACTCCCAGGAGCAGATCCGCGCCATCCTCGACGCCTGCATGGACGACGTGCTGGAGTACCGCGCGGCCAAGGGCAAGAAGCCCAAGGATGCCGACGCGCGCGCGGCCGTCGCGTCCGAGGACGCGCGCGAACCGGCCGCGGACGACTTCGAGCGGTCCAAGGAGGACCTCGAGCAGGCCGTCGCGGCGGAGAAGAAGAAGAAGCCCAAGAAGAAGAAGCCCAAGAAGGCGCCGGCGCCGCCCGCGGACGCGGCGGCGCCGTCGGCGACGCGCGACGACGCGCCCGCGCCCGAGAAGGAGCCCGAGGCGCCCGCGGAAACGGAGCCGCCCGCGAAGGCGCCGGCGCCCGTCGTCAAGGCGCCGGCGCCCGTCGTCAAGGCGCCGGCGCCCGTCGCGAAGGCGCCGGAGCCGAAGCGCGAGAGCGCCGTCGAGCTGCAGAAGCGCGTCGAGCGCGAGCGGCTCGAGTCCACGCTCGAAAAGGCCCGGGCGCTCGAGGAGGCGGCCGCGGCGTCCGCGGCGCGCGACGCCGAGACGGCGGCCAGGGTCGGCTGCGCGTCGCTCGTCGCGTCCCTCGACGCGCTCGGCCGCGACGAGTGGGACTACGTCGTCGGCTCCGTCGACGGCGGCGACGGCGACAACGTGTCCACGGTGCTCGACGCGTTCCTGCCCGCCTTCAAGGAGCTCGGCGACGCCGCGCTCCAGGGCGCCGCCGTCGCCTGCGTGCTCGACGGCGCCAAGGCGGGCCCCGCGGGCGACCTCGCGGATTTCGTGGCCGCGGCGCGCGCCGCCGTGCCCGAGCTCCGCGACGACGCGGGCAGCGACCCCGAGGAGGCGCACCCGGACCCCGGCGGCGAGGGCGACGACGACGACGAGCAGACGCCCATGGCGCCCCACGTGCTCCGCAAGTGGGCCAGGGTCGTCGCGAAGGCGAAGCGCCGCGAGTCGAACAAGGCCTTCGAGGCGCCCGCCGCGCTCGCGGCCGTCGTCCTGCACCGCCGCGCGGCCGCCGCGGCGCGCAGAGCCGCCGTCGTGGCGCTGCTCCGGGGCGCCACGGTGCAGGACCTCGGCGACGACGACTTCGCGGCGGCCTGGGAGCTCAAGGGCCGCGACGCCAGGGCCGCGGCCGAGTGGCTCGCGGCGCGCAGTGGCACCGCGGAGATGACGCGCGCGGCCCTCCGCAAGGCCCCCGCCAAGCGCGTGAGCGCCGAGGACGCCGCCAAGGCGAAGCGCAAGAAGGACCGCGAGGACGCGCGGCTCCGGGAGCAGCTCCTCGAGCGCTACGGGTCGCGGCCGTCGAACGGCGGCTGGAAGAGCTCGATCCGGTCGCCGAACATCGTCTACGGCAAGGAGAGCTCCAAGATCCGCTACTTCGAGGGCAAGGTCGTGTCGACGTCCGGCCAGAAGGAGGTCATCATCAAGGACGACAGCGACGCGACGAAGGTGCCCCAGGTCGTCAAGAAGAACGGCACGGTCCGCGCGGCCAAGTAGGCGCCCGTTCTTTCGGGGGGCTAACTATCGCACGGCGCCCCCGCGCGCCGCGTCCATGGCCGCGGCGTAGTCCGCGTAGGCCGCGCCGTCGGGCATGCGCATGGCGCCGTCGGGCGCGCGCGTCGCGCCGTTCATGGCCGCCTCGATGGACGCGTAGGTGAAGCCGAGCATCTCCGACTCGTCGCCGCCGAGCACGGAGAGCGACTCCGCGAGCACGACGACGAGGCCGTCCGCGCGGCGCTCGAGGCGCTCCCTCTCCTCGGGCTCCGCGGTCGCGGCCCGGGCGCGCAGGATGTGGATCTCCTCGAGCATGTCCGCGTTCTTGTCGAGGATCTCGTCGACGGGCGCGCCGAGGAGCACGGGGTGGTCGCCCCGCAGCTCGAAGTCGAGCGCCACCTCCTCGTGCAAGGACGCGTCCATGTCGCCGTGGAATCGCGCGCGTTCGGGCGGCACGAAGTCGTCCTCGTCGAAGTAGGGGCTCTGGTGTTTCTTCCGCCTCGTCGCCGCCTTCTTCGCCTTGGGCGGCCGCGGCGACCGGGACCGCGCCCGCGCGGCCGGCGGCGCCGGCGCCGGCGGGGCGGCGACGGCCGCCGGCGCGGCGACGACGGCCGCCGGCCGCGGCGCGACGGGCGCGTAGCCGCGCGGCGGCGGCGCGAAGCCCGGCGGCGGCGGCGAGAAGCGGCCCGGCGGCGCGAAGCCCTGCGGCGGCGGCGAGAAGCGGCCCTGCGGCGCGAAGCCCTGCGGCGGCGGCGAGAAGCGGCCCTGCGGCGCGAAGCCCTGCGGCGGCGGCGAGGAGCGGCCCTGCGGCGCGAAGCCCTGCGGCGGCGGCGAGAAGCGGCCGGGCTGCTGCCGCTGCTGCTGCTGCGCGAGGAAGTTGGCGAAGGCCAGCTGCTGCTGCTGCTGCTGCTGCAGCGGGCTCGGGAAGGCCGGCGGCTGCTGCAGCGGGTGCTGCTGCCAGGGCGCGCCCGGAAACGCGGGCGCGATGGGCGCCGGCGCGATGGGGACGGGCTGCCGCGGCGCGATGGGCACGGGCTGCCGCGGCGCGATGGGCACGGGCTGCCGCGGCGCGATGGGCACGGGCTGCCGCGGCGCGATGGGCACGGGCTGCCGCGTCAGCGCCTCGCTCGCTGCGACCGCCTCCTGCAGGCGCAGGAAGAGGTCGCCGTTGCCGGACTTCGCCGGAGGAGCCTCGGCTGCCTCGGCCATCGTTCAAAGCGAAATTCAAGCACTGCGAGGCGGAGTGCATCGTGTTATCGTGCCTGCAACACTGGCGCGACACCGCCTGCCGTCGAACCTGGCCGTCGCCGCTGCGCGCGCCGGCCGACGCGTTCGAGTCGTCACAAGACCCACCGCCACACACACCGCGCCGCGCCACCGCGACCCGCGCCTCGAAGAAAAACACCCATGGGCGGCTTCGGGTCCGCGGACCCCAAGGCGTCGCAGCGCGCGCTCCTGGACCAGCTCATGGGCGCCGAGCGCGACCTCGACCTCGAGTCCAAGGCGAAGAAGAAGTTCTGGGAGAAGGACGTCTGCAAGCTCTACCTGGCGGGCCTGAGCCCCTACAAGCTGCTCAAGGAGACCAGGGGCTTTGTGGCGAACGGCTACGACGTCTGGGTGAAGCACGCGTACGCCTACGCGCTGCGCCTCGACTGCCGGCCCGACGACGTGGACTGCGAGCGGTGGAAGGTCGACCACAACCTCAAGGCCCAGTACGACGCCCTCGACGACGAGACCAAGGCCAAGTACGGCTACGAGCGCGTGCTCTACGACTGCGTCCATTCTTTGGTAAAACAGGGCGACCGCCGCATCGCGAACCAAAAAGAGAAGATCGAGGTGAAGAACGTGACGATCACGGACGACGTCGTCGCGAAGATCGCCGAGCTCGACGCGGCCTACCGGGCCAAGACGGAGGAATCCGAGACGCTCGGCGAGGTCGGCGAGATCGAGGAGTCGATGCGCGCCATGGGCGAGGCGGACGAGATCCGCAAGGCCAAGGTCGACCTCGAGACCAAGTGCATGGGCGGCGAGGGCACGAAGCGTTTTGTGGTGTGCCAGACGACGGGCGACCTCATCGAGGCCGCGGCCGCCGCCGACGACGCGTGGATGGCGAGCCACTTCGAGTCCGCGGACTTCCAGGGCTGGAAGCTGCTCCGCGAGACCTGCGCGAAACTCAAGCTCCAGCGCGACGGCCGGGGGCCGCCGCGCCACGCGCCGGGCTACGAGCTGGGCCGGGGCGGCGAGGCCGCGGAGCGCGAACGGCTCCGCGACGAGGGCCGCGCGCGGCCGCCGCCGCCGCGGCCGCCGCCGGCGCGGCGCGACCGCGACCGGCCCCGGTCGCGGAGCCGCGACCGGGGCCGCGACCGCCGGTACGACGACCGCCGCGACGACTACCGCCGCCGCGACGACGGCTACGACCGGCGCCGCGACGACGACCGGGGCCGCGACCGCGTCCGCCGCGACGACGGCTACGACCGGCGCCGCGACGACCGGGACCGCGACTACGACCGGCGGCCGACCTACCGCCGCGAGCCCGAGCCCGGCGAGGCGCCCGTCTACCGCCGCGAGCCCGAGCCCGGCGAGGCGCCCGCCTACCGCCGCGACGCGCCGCCGCACTACCGCCGCGAGAACCGCGAGCCCGAGCCCGGGGAGGCCTAAACAACGTGTCCCTATTTACGCGGCTTCTTGGCGCCGCCGCCCTTGGCGCCGCCGCCCTTGCGCTTCTTGCCCCCGGCCTTGCCGCGCTGGGGGTTGAAACTCTTCATGTCGTCGATGGACCGCGCGTCGCTCTTCTTCTTGCCCTTCTGGACGCCGCCGTAGCCCCACTTCTTGTCCTTGTTCTTCTGCTTGCCGCTCTTGCCCGGCCGGGGCGGGCCGTCGTCGCCGTCGCCGTCCGCGAGGCCGCCGCCGCGGCGCTGCTTCGCCTCCTTGCGCCAGTCCTCGACCTCGCGGAGCTCGGCCTTCTTCTTCGCGCTCTTCTCCGCGACCTTCTCGGCCTGGAGGGCCTTGGCGTACTTGACCTCGGCCTGGCGCCGCTTCCGCTGCTCGAACGCGTCCATCTTCTTCTGCTGGAAGAGCAGGTTCTCCTTGACTTTGGCCATGTGGCCGTCGCTCTTGGTCATCTCGCAGAAGAAGTCCTTGGGCCGCTTGTAGGGCTCGCCGAGCGCCCGGAGCTTGTCGCGGCCCTCGCGGACGAGGCCGAGCGCCATGTTGTAGAACGCGACCTCGCGCTCGAGGTCGTCGTCCGTCGCCGCGGAGAGCGGCTCCGGCGCCGTGAGCACGAGCGTCTCGAGCCAGGGCGCGCCGCCGGGCAGGATCGTCTTCGCCGCGCGCTCGAGGCCCGCGCGGTCGCTCGCCGCCGTCGCGCGCGCCGACGCGAGCTGCGCGCGCGCGCCGCCGCCGGCGCGGCTCTCGGCGAGGGCGCGGCGCTCCGCGGCGTCCTCGTCGTCGCTGTCGTCGCTGTCGCTGGCCTCGCCGGGTCGCGCCGCGCGCTTCATTGCCGAGCGATGCGCGGGGAGAGTGGGCGTGCCAGATGCGCGGCGTGCAAAGGCGTGCGAGACGGAGCGCTTCGGCCTATCGCCTGTACGCCTGGGAGACAGCTGCAGCTTCCGGAGCTCGGCGTCACCATGTCGTCACCGTCGGCCTCGAGCTCAGCACTCCCTCCAGCGCGCCTCCCAGCGAGGCTCGCCACGCCACACCAGAAATACTATGCGTCCCCGCCCCTCGGCGAGAGCCCCCGGCCGAGGTCGCGCCGCGCGCCGAACGCCATCTCGGGCCGGCCCGGCGGCCGCGGCGCGCGTTTCGGCTTGGGCTCGTCCGCTTCCGCGGGCGCGGGCGGCGCGGGCGGCGGCCGCTCCGAGTCGCGGGACTCGGAGAGCATGCGCCGCGTGCGCAGGTCCTCGAGCGCGCGCTCGCGCTCCGCGTTCTCGCGCTGGAGCGCGTCGACCTGCGCGAGCAGCTCCTCCTTGCGCTTCAGTTTTTTCCGCCGCGCCGCGTCGATCTTCGCGTCGATGCGCTCGAGCTCCTGGTGCTGCGCGTCGAGCTGGCAGCGCCGCTCGTGCGTGTGCTGCTTCGCCATCTCCTTCTCCTTCTCGACGAGCGCGGCGAAGTCCGCGTGGGCTTTTCGAATCTTGGCCTCCTTGTCGCGTTTCAACTTCTCGAACTGCTTGTCGAGCGCCTCGACCTTGAGCTCGTGCTGGCGCGTCATGTCGGCCTTCTTGCCCGACGACTCGGCGACCTCCTGCTCCAGGGCCTCCGTCTCCGCGACGAGGCGCGCGGTGTTGCGGTTGACGGTTTCGCACTCGTCGCGGAGCTTCGCCTCCTCGGCCGCGACGGCCATGTATTGGGCCATGGCCGCCGCGTTCTGCTCCTTCATCTTCGTGATGGCGTCGGCGTGCTTCGCCTCGAGGTCCGCCGTCTTGGCCTCGAGCTTCGCGGAGAAGGCGTCGCGCTCGCGCTGCGCGTCGGCCTCGAGCCGCTTGAGGACCTCCGCGAGCTCCGCGTCGTACTTGGCCCTGATGGGCGCGACGAGCTTGTCGATCTTCGCCGGCTTCGCCGCCTCCTGCTCCGCGAGGAACTTGGCCTGGTAGGCCGCGCGCTCGCGCTCGTACGCGGCCTGCGCCTCGCGTTCCTCGGCCTCGACCTTCTCGCGGTCGAGCTGCAGGTGCCGCTCGTGCTCGACGACGAGCTCCGCGGTCTTGATGTGCTCCTCGCGCTTCAACTCCGCCTCCTCGACCTGGCGCCGCTGCTTGAGGCGGTCGCACTCGACCTCGTGCGCTTTCCGCTCCGCCTCGAGCGCGGCCTTGTGCTCGTCCCAGAGCTTGCGCAGGTCCGCGTCGTGGGCCTCCTGCTTCGCCTTGAGCTTCTTCGTGTTCTCCTCGCGCAGGTCGCTGAGCTGCTGCTCCATCTGCGCGTCGGCTTTCTGCTGCTCCTGCCGGAGGACGATCTCGTGCTCCGCGAGGATCGTCCGCCGCTCCCGCTCGAGCTCCTCCTCGAGCTCCCGCTCCTTCTTCGCGAGGTCGTCGCGGTTCGCGGAGATGAGGCGGTGCACCTCGGGCTCGAGCGCCTTGATGACCTTGGCCTTGATGCCCGCGCGCCGCTTCTCGACGACGGCCTCGAGCTCCTTTTGCTCCGCGGCCTTCCACTCGGCCATCTGCTTTTCCAAATCGCGCCGCCCAGCCTCCCGCGCCGCGGCGACGCGCTGCTCCCGGAGCCCGTCGGCGCGGTCGATGACGGACCGGAGGTCGCGGCGGCGGCGCTCGAGCTTGGCCACGTCGTCCTTGAGGGTGGCCTTGAGGTCCTCCTGCTTCTTCAGCGCGGCCGCGTGCTCGACGCGCTGCGCCTCGAGCTTCGCGTCCCACTCGGCCTTGACGGCCGCGACCTCGGCGGCGCGGTCCTCGCGCGCGTGCTTGAGCTCGAGGCGCCGCGTCCGCACGAGGTCGCGCGCCTCGGCGAGCTCGCCGTGGAGCACGTTCAGCTGCCGCTGCACGGCCTCGAAGGTCTCCGCGTCGCCGGCCCGGGCACCGGCGCGGGGCGCCGGCGCCGGCGTAGTTGCGTCGTCGTCGAGCGCCTCGTCCCAGACGTAGCGCGCCGACGACGACGCGCCGCCGCTCGCGGCGTCCCCGGCGGCACCGCCGCGCACCGGGGCGGCACCGCGCGCGCGGCGCTCGGCCCGCGACGCGCCCCGCGACGGCGGGTGCTCGGCCTCGCCGTCGAGCTCGTCCCAGATGAACTTCTTCTCGCCACTCATGGCTAGCGTTCCACGACGATCATCGCGTCCGGCGGGCAGCCATCTTTATTCGAAATGCGAGTTTGAACTTCAACATGTCCGATCGGTCGGCCATCTCGGTCGGCCCGATGGGATCCTGATGGGCTGCCTCGCAGCGGTGGTGTTGGTGACCTCATGAGATGCCTCGCGGCGCGAGCCCGTGCGCGTAAGACGGCGGTCGACACTTGGTGACCTCATGAGATGCCTCGCGGCGCTCGTGTGGCTGCCCGTCGTCGCGTCCCAGCAGGTCCCGCAAGAGCTGCTTCGCGTGCCTGTCGCAAAATGGAACTTGCAAAACGCGCCGCCGAAGCCGGACCCGCGCGCTGTCTGCCCGCCGCGCGCCAAGGGCGACGTCAACGTCTTCTCCGTCGTCGCGGCAGTCGACGCGCCGCTCGGCGACCGCGACGCGCCGCTCGGCGACGGCGACGCGCCGCTCGGCGACGGCTGGCCGGAGTGGTTCAGGTTCCACGCCGTCGACGACGCCGCGATGCGGCGAAGCGCGGCGGGCCTCGGCGCGCTCCTCGCGGGCGCCGGCGCGCGGGGCTTCGCCGGCGCCCTGGCGCGGCTGCGGCCGCGCGCGTTCCGGGCGGAGCTCTGGCGCTACGCCGCGCTCTGGGCCTGCGGCGGCTGGTTCGTCGACGCGCGGCTCCATTTGGCGGGATCCGTCGACGACCTCGTCGTCGCCAGCCGCGCTCGCGGCGGCTGGCACAAGCGGCTCCAAGTCGTCACCGACGCCGACGGCTCGCTCTGGCCGGGCTTCCTCGCGGCGCCGAAGCCGGGGCACCCGGCGCTGCTGAGGGCCGTCGCGGCCGTCGTCGACAACGTGCGCGCCGCGCGGAACTTCTCGGACCGGCCGGGCGACCGACATCGCTACGTCGCCGGCTCGGGCGTCCTGTCCGCAGCCGTCGTGTCCGACGCCGACGACTGGACGAGCGCGCTCCGGCGCAACGCGTCCCGCGTGTCCGTCGACGACGGCGCGCGCGCCGGCGCGCCCCTCTTCGTCGAGCTCCACTACGACCGCGACGAGGCGGACGCCGCCGCGCTCTTCGAAGACGGGCGCGCCTACTGCGCGCGCCCGTGCGCGTGAGACGGCGGTCGAGAGTTCTTAGAGCGCGAGCGTCTCCATGGCGATGAGCCGCTCCTTCGCGGCGGCGAGCTCGGCCTCGAGGCGCGCCTCGAGGGGCGCGCTCGCGTCGACGGGCGCCTCGGCGAAGCGGCCGCCGTCGAACTTCGACGCGTCGCGGACCTTGGCCGCCGCGGCCTCGTAGCGCCGCTGCACGGCCTCGATCTCGCCCCGGAGCGCGGCGGCGCGGTCCGACTCCGGCGCCTCGTCCTCGAGGGCCAGCACGTCCTCGAGGCGGTGGAGCAGCTCGTCGGGCTCGAGCGCCGGCTTGAGGAAGTGGTCCGACCGCCACGCGCTCTCGTCGGAGAGCTCGGCGTTGAGCGCCGCGGCGGCCTCGGGGCCCCAGCCCAGGCCGGAGCCGCTCGCGACGAACCCGCGCGCGTAGTTGAGCAGCTTGACGGCGCCGTAGAAGTCGACGCGCGCCGCCCGCGCGACGGCGGCGAGGTCGAAGCCCCGGGACGCGTCGAAGGCCAGAGCCTCCTCGGCGGTGGCGAAGAGGCGCGACACATCCGTCACGGCGGCGATCTGGGGCTCGCTGTCCGCCTCCTCGGCGTCGCTCCACGTGTCGTTCTCGTCATCGATGGTCGCAGCCATACCCGAGGTCGATCGCTGAAAGCAGTTTGCGCTGGACTGTTGTTGAGGTCGCCCTTACCCCTCGCAGCGCAACGATTAAGCTGCCCGCCTCGGCACGATGGCGGACAAGCAGCTCGAGAACGAGCGGCAGATCATCGAGACCTACATGCAGGAGCACGGCTTGGAGACGACGCTCAACGACGTCGTCAACAACATCGTCAAGACGCGCCCCGCCGACCCCTACGTGAAGCTCGGCCAGAGCCTGCTGCGGAGCAGCGAGACGGCGAACTCGATCACGGCCGTGCGCGCGACGGAGGTGTTGAACGGCCACGGCACGCCCGCCCTCGAGGTCGAGGTCGAGACGCAGCAGGGCAAGTTCCGGGCCATCTCCGGCCTCGGCCCCTTCGACGACGACGAGGACCGCCACGGCGGCTTCGGGCTCAAGAAGGCCGCGGACAGCGTCAAGGCCGTGCTCGCCGACAAGCTCGTCAACGTCGACGTGACGAACATGGAGGCCATCGACGCCCTGCTCCTGGGCGAGGACGCGCCGGCGAACGCGGTCCTCGCGCTGTCCGTGGCGTGCTGCAAGGCGGCCGCGCGCCACGGCGGGCTCGAGGTCCACGAGCACGTCGCCGCTTTGGCCGCGTCGGCGGGCGGCGTGCTGCCCATGCCCACGGTCGCCGTCGTCAACGGCGGCTCCTACGGCACGTCGACGAGCTGCCCCTTCGAGGAGGTGTCCGTCGTGCCCGTCGCCGCGCGGTCGCTCGAGGACGCGCTCGAGGTCTGCGCGTCCGTGTTCCGGCGGATCCCCGAGGCCTGCGCGGCCGCGGGCCTGCCGAAGCCGGGCCTGGGCACGCGGGGCGGCTACGCCGTCGAGGTGGCGACGCCCGGCGACGCCGTCAAGGTCGTCCACGAGGCCATCAAGCTCGCGTCCGCGGAGGAGAGCGTGAAGATCGCGGTCGACGTCGGCGCGCCCGCGTACGCGAAGCAGCACGAGGACGAGGAGGAGACGACGGTCTATGATTTGGCCCACTTCGAGGGTCTGGAGACGCCGCCGCCGCCCAAGTCGGCGGACGAGATGGTCGAGGCGTACTTCGACCTGCTGCTCAACTACCCGGTCATCGGCCTCGAGGACCCGTTCCTCTCCAAGGACATCTTCGCGTTTTTGAAGCTGAAGGAGCGCCTCGACCTCGAGGCGGCGCGGGCCGCGGAGCCCACGGACGTCGACGGCGAGAACCCGGACGACATGATCTTACGGCTGGCGCCCCTCGGCGGCGACGACGCGTGCACGCTCCAGCTCGTCGGCGACGTCGTCTGCGAGAACACGGACGACATCGACAAGTACGACGAGCAGAAGACGATCAACACGCTCTGCCTGACGCTGAGCAAGGGCAAGACCGTTTCCGGGGCCATCGACCTCGTCAAGGCCGCGCGGTCCAAGGGCTGGGGCGTCGTCGTCTCGGCGGAGACCGCGCGGCCCGAGAGCGACGACGCGTTCGCGGCGCACTTCGCCGTCGGCGTCCGCTCGGGCCAGTTCAAGGCCGGGGGGCTCGGCGGCCTCGAGCACGCAAACAAGTACAACGAGCTCCTCCGGATAGCCGGCGAGGCCAACGCGCCGCCGTTCATCGCCGGCGAGTACCGCGCGGCGAACAACGTCTAGGACACCGCGCGGACCCGTCGTCGGGGCCGGCTAACGCGACACCGGCGGAGCGGGCCGACTAGGTTAGTTCGGCTCAAAGCTCGATGATGTGATAGGCTTCCGCCAGGGCGCGCTTCCGAATCGCCGCGGCCTCGGCGCGCTCCGCCGCGGTCTCGGGCCTGAGCTGCGCGTGGGGGTAGCTTTGGAAACCGTAGCTTTCGATACCATTCCATTTTTCGAGGCTGCGTTCGTCGGTGGTGGTGTCCATGTAGACGTTGACCCAGCCGTAGGGCGTCACATTCCGGACGACGCCCGCGATCCCCGTCGAGATGACGACGACGCGGTCGCCCTTGGCGGCCGCGTAGGGCTCCTCCGACGCGGGCGAGGACGTCTCGTCCTCGGGGCGCGACGTCGTCATCTCGACGGGGATCCCGGGCGTCTCGTCCTCGGGGCGCGACGCGACGTCGACGTCCGGCGTGCCCGCGGGGTCCTCGGGCGACGCGTCCTGCCGAAGGACGCGGCGGGCGACGCAGTGGGGCTTGTGCCGGGGCCACGCCTTGCGTTGGCAGGCTTTGCTGCCTAAAGAAACGGGGCGGTCGCCGCCCGCCGAAAGAAGCAAAGGACGGGGACGCCGCGCGGCTTAGAAGACCCGCTCGCAGCCAGCACAGAGCTGGTGCTGATGCGCTGGGCCGCTCTTTTCGGGGCGCGAGCCACAGGTTGCACAGGACGGGAAGATGTCATAACCGACGGATTTCCACAGGACGAATTTCCATTGCTTGCCAGCGCGTTCTCGCTCCATAACGAGCGAGTAAGTGCCGCAAGCGGTCATGGCCCAATTTTGCGCGATAGATCTGTGAACGAGATCATCGGCGGCTACGTCCAACAGGTCGACGGACGTCCAGGGAATCGTCGGGTCTCTCTTGACAAAGGTAATTTCCCGACACGACGTGTCTGTTTCGTTCATCCTGGCGCAGCACGGGCACACGACCATCACCGCGTCGGGCCGTTCCAGGAATCGTCGGTTTAGATCGTCGAAGCAGCCCCGCGAGATCTTCCCCGGAAAACCTACGCCGCGCGGCGATGACGACGCGGTCGATGTCCCGGTCGAGCTCTCTCGAAAGTCGCCACGGCCACGGGACGCTGCTCGAGGCTATCTGGGTGGATCGTAAATCGATTGGTCTCGTCGCCACGCTTTACAGCCGCCATGTGTTCTTCGTGCAACGGCGCTTGGATGCGTCTGAACTCGGGACCGTGCTGCGGATGACACGCGAGCCTGTTGACCGCGTCGATCTGCGGGATGATGTTCATCGGATCGATCGTGTCGTCGCGATGCGGCGGGACCACGTCCGCGCCGACGAAGAGCTCTGGATGCCTGTCTTCGAACTCGAGCACGGCCTGGAAGTCGCACGCGTCGACCAGCGGCCTCGACACGCGGATGTTGCGAAGAGACAGCAATCGCTTGGGACGATCTCGGGGGCGCACGGACATCCACTGGGCCTTGAATTTCTTCGATATGTCTACGATTTCAGCGGCATAGCGACCTTGGGCTGCATCCAGTGCCGCGTCGTCGAGATCCACGGTTCTCACAGGCCACTCTCGAGGCGCCGCTGGTTGATCGGCTGCCCGGTCCGCGCCGCGCTGGTTTCGCTTCTTCGCCGATTTCTTCCCCATCAGGAGGAGCTTGCGCCCCGACGAACCACCATGCCGGCCCCAGCTGCAGGCGACGGCATTGAAGCTTATGCTGCCCTTCATCACCGTATTGACACCGTCGAGCAAACGATTTTGGACGCATCGGTTGTCGTCGGGCAGCGTCGGTGGCCATGGTGAAGCCGCGCATCTTGTCGGCGTGGACGCCGTCGAAGCGGCGCGTCCGCGAGGACCTGGAGATGCACCTCGAGGAGGCGGAGCAGCAGCTCGAGCAGCAGCGGCGCGAGGGCGAGCGCCTGCGGCGCGTCAAGGACGCCTTCGACGCGTCGCTGGAGCTGCGGAGCCGGGAGCTGGAGCTCGCGCTCGAGGACGTGAACCGCTGCAAGCGCTCGAGGAGCGTCGGCGGCGGCGTCATCGACGACGAGCCGTGCCTCGACCCGAGCCAGCTCACGTCCGCGTTGGTCGCGCTCTACGGCCAGGTCGCGGCGCTCGAGCAGCGGCTCCGCGCGCGGAAGGGCGAGACGGAGGCGCTCGACGCGCGCATGAAGCGGGCCGACGTCGGCGCCGAGAAGCGCGCCGCCGACGCGCTCCGGGGCGAGATCGAGGCCGCGCAGCGGCGCTACGAGCTCGCGGCGCCGGACCGGTCGCGGTCGCCCGCGCCGGCGCCGGGCGCGTTCCCCGACGCGCCCGACGGCGCCAGCGAGGACGGGCTGGACGAGGAGCTGGACCTCTACGAGGACGCGCCGGCGCCCTACGGCACGATGGCCGCCGCGGCGGAGCCGCCGCCGCGGGGCCGGCCGCGGCGGGGCCCGCGGCCGCGCGCGCGGCGGCCCGCGGCCGAGGCGCGCGTCTACCGGCGGAACCGGGGCCTCGTGGCCGCGGAGCTGGCGAGCGAGCGCGCGAAGACGGAGCGCCTGGCCGTCGTCGCGCGCGAGCGGAAGCGGCGCGAGGCGCGCGACGAGCGCGACGTCCGCACGTGGGAGGAGCTCGAGCGGGAGCGCCTCGACGAGATCAAGCGGCTCAAGCGCCAGCTCCGCGAGGAGCGCACGCGGACGCGGCGGCAGCGGCGCACGGAGCGGCGCCAGGCCGAGCTCGACGAGGACTTCGCGCGGCTCACGGGCGCCGCGTCGACGTTGCGGCGGTCGCCGCGCGGCGACGGGGACCGGGGGGACAACTCGCAGGCGTCGCGGCCCAAGGCGCCGGCGACGCTCGAGGTCGTGCCCAGCGGGTCCAGCGTCGATCTCCACGGCCTCGCGCGGTCCATTTTGGCCGAGTCGGCCGCGCGGTCGGCCGCCGTCGGCAAGGGCGAGGAGCTGCTGTTCCGCGCGGTCGTCTGGGACGACTACCGCGTCGTCCGCGACCGGCTCTTCCTGGACCTGCGGTGCCCCGCGGACCGCCACGAGGTCGTCGCGGACCTCGTGGAGATCATGTTCGCCGCGGACGTCGCCTCGGCGCGGTGCGCCGACGGCGCCGCGGGCGACGGCGACGAGCCCGCGCCGTCGCCGCGCGCCGAGGGCCCGCGCGGCGGCGGCGGCGGGGCGACGGCGCCCTGCAGCTTCGAGCTGCTGCTCCACGAGGGCGCGGACTGCGGCGACGTCGCGCGCGCCATCGACGCCTCCGCGGCGCTGGCCCACGTCGCCTGGCGCGCGTCCTACGACGTCGCCGGCGACCGCCGGGGCGGGAAAAGAGAGCGACATCCCCAACTTCAAAGGCTCCGATCTCGGCCGTTCTCCGCTCGTTTCGGCTGATTTTTGGACGAGCGATCATCTCTCGGAACGGTCTCGAAGCGTAGATGATTTTTCCGGAACGCGCGCGCGCGAAACACTCATGTTGAAGCGACCTTGAATCACTCTTTTCCTGCCCAGGCGACTGGCTCGTGATCCACGCGAAGAACGCGCCGTCGCGGAAGGAGGTGCTCGCGGAGCTCCAGCGCCTCTTCCCCAGCGGCCGCCGGGGCAGCGCCCTCGTCGCCGCGGTGGCCGCCGTCGCGCGCGACGCCGACGAGCCCGCGGGCGCGACGCTCCCCTGGGGCGCGTCGCCGCCCGCGCCGCGGCCGGCGCCCGCGCCCGCGCCGCGGGTCCCGGATCCCGCGCCCCCGCGGAGCGACCCGCCGCCCCCGCGGAGCGACCCGCCGCCGCCGTCGCGGGCGACCGTCGGCCCCATCGCGGAGATCCCGCCCTTCCGGGGCGGCGCGCCCGCCGACGAGCCCGCGCCGTCGCGGCCGCCGCCGACCACCAAACTCGCGGAGATCCCGCCGTTCCGCCCCCGGGACGAGCCCCCGATCCACGAGGAGGAGAACGTCGAGGAGCCCGGCGTCGACGAGGACGTGGACGCCGACCGGTGCACGTACCACGTCAAGTTCCGGCCCGGCGCGGACCCCTACGAAGTCGCCGCGAAGCTGTTCGCGGTCGCGGCCGTCGCGGACGCGGGCGTCGTCTGGGACCCGGGCAGCGTCGTCGCCAACGCCGGGGACAACCGCTTCCTCGTGACCTGCACGCTCCCCGAGGACGTGTCGCGCGACTTCATGTACCGCGAGCTCCAGCGGAACCTCGTGCCGCTGTCCGGCAGGTCCATGGGCCTCGTGACGTTCGTGGACCTCGCCTACGACTGGGACGAGCCGGACCCGGCCAAGGAGATCGTCACGCTCGACGCGGCGAAGCTCGCGGCCCTCGTCGACCGGGAGCAGCGCGAGCCGTCGGCGCAGTTGGGCGCGTCGCGCGGCTCGGACGCGTCCGACGACTTCGGCGCGAGGTTGGCCCGCGCGGGCCTCGGCTCCGTCGCGGAGGGCCTGCGGGCCGAGGGCGTCGACGACCTGCAGACGCTCGCGAAGATGACGGAGGCCGAGGTCGACGCGCTCGCCCGGGACCTGGGGCTCAAGGTCGGCTTCGCCGTCAAGCTCAAGGGCCTCCGCGCGGAGGCCGTCGCGCGGAAACGGCTGAGCCAGGCGCCGAGCCGCCACTCCGTCATGTCCCAGTTCGACCTCGAGCCCCTGGCGCCGGGCGCCCGCGTGTTGGCGCGCCACGGCGACGACGCCTTCTTCTCCGAGGGCGCCGTCGAGGCCGTCGACGGCGAGTCGTACGGCGTGCGCTTCGACTTCGGCGCCGTCGGCGACGACATCCCCCGGCGGCGGATCTTCACGGCGAACCAGGTCCAGGACGCGGCGCTGCCCGTGGGCGAGACCGTCGACGCGCTCGTCGATGGCGAGGACGACGCGCGCGTCGCGACGGCGACGGTCGTCGCCGTCGACGGCGACGCGTACCACGTCGTCTTCGAGGACCCGGAGTTGGGGGAGGCGTCTTTGACGCGCGACCAGGTCTGGGGCGCGTTCCACGACCGGCCCGCCGTCGACCCGGCGGCGCTCCTCCTCGACGACCCGCCGTCGCCGCTGAAGATGTCGCCGCGCGACGACCCGGCGGCGGAGGAGCCGGATGAACCGGAGGAGCCGGAGGAGCCGGACGCGGAGGAGGACCCGGAGCCGGCGGAGGCGCCGCCGCGGCCCGGGGACCTCGTCGCCGTCCCCGGCGGCTTCGCCCTCGCGGCCCACGACCACGACCACGACCACGAAAACGCCCCGGCGGCGCCGGAGCCGGAGCAAGAGCGGGACGACCCGCCGTCGCCGCAGAAGCCGCCGCCGCGCGGCGTCGTCGAGGCGCGGCGCTGGGCGCTCGTGCCCGAGGCCGCGGCCGTCGACGCCGCGGCCGTCGACGCGGTCCTCGCGGACTGGGGCGTCATCGCCCCCGACGACGACGTCGCCGTCCGCGCCGAGGCGACGACCGGCGGCCTCGCGCTCGTCGCCGAGGCCTCCGTCGCGGGCTTCCCCTGGGCGTGGCTCGACGAGCAGCTCCAGGACCGCTTCGCCGAGTTCCCCGACGTGCTCAAGAGCCTCGCGCTCCAGCCCGCCGACCAGTCGCCGCGGGACAAGTCGCCGCGGCGCGGCGGGGCCGTGTCCGCGCCAACGCGCGCGCTGTCGCCGCGCGCGGACAACTCGCCGCGCCGCGACGCCGTCGTCCCGGACGCGGCGCCGGCGGAGCCGCCCGCGCGGCCGGAGAAGGAGAACGCCCCGGAGCCCGACGCGACGCCGCGGCGCGACGCCGTCGTGTCCGCGCCGACGCGCGCGCTGTCGCCGCGCGCGGACAACTCGCCGCGCCGCGACGCCGTCGTCCCGGACGCGGCGCCGGCGGAGCCGCGCGGGCGGCCGGAGAAGGAGAACGCCCCGGAGCCCGACGCGGCGCCGCGGCGCGACGCCGTCGTGTCCGCGCCGACGCGCGCGCTGTCGCCGCGCGCCGACAACTCGCCGCGGCGCGACGCGCTCGTGCCCGGCGGGGAGCCGCCCAAGGCCGCGCCGCGCGCCGACGGCTCGCCGCGCCGCGACGCCGTGCTGCCGAGCGACGCCGCCGTCGGCGCGCCGCCGGAGCAGGGGACCGCGCCCGCCGTCGCGGCGGGGCCGGCGCCCGAGCCGCTCCCCGCGGACTACCTCGCGCCGGGCGCGCGCGTCGAGTGCCGCTACATGGCGACGTCCGAGTTCTACGGCGGCGTCGTCGCGTCCTACGTCAACGGCCGCTACACCGTGGAGTACGACGACATGGGCACGGAGCACGGCGTCGACCGGCTCCGGCTCCGGCTGCCCGGCCAGGCCATGGCGCCGCCCGCGGTGGACGCCGTCGTCGACGCGTGGCACCCCGGGTCCAACTGCGTGCGCCGCGCGTCCGTCGTCGGCCTCGGCGCGGAGCGGGTCACGGTCAAGTTCGACGACGACGGCGTCGTCCACGACGTCGGCCGCGGCAGCCTCTTCGGCGCGTTCCTGCCCCCGGGCCTCGTCCCCGAGCCCGCGGCGTCGGAGACGCCGCGCCCGGGCGGCGCCGACGCGCTCTCGCCGGCCGCGCCCGACGGGCCCCTGTCGCCGTCGTTCCGCGAGGCCGCGCCGCTCGCGCCCATGCGCGTCGGCGACGCCGTCGAGTGCCGCTACCTCGACACGGCCGAGTTCTACGCCGGAAAGATCGTCGCCGACGACGGCGACGGCGCGTTCGCCGTCCACTACGACGACGGCGACGACGAGGCGCGCGTGCCCCGGCGGAAGCTCCGCTACGCGGGCCAGGCCATGGCCGACGGCCTCGCGCTCGGCGAGACCGTCGACGCGGCCTGCGCGGCGCGCGACGGCGCGGTGCTCCCGGGCATGGTCGTCGAGGTCTACAAGGGCGGCAACTACAAGGTCAACTTCGACGACGCGGACCTCGACGAGGTCGTGCTCCCCCGTGACGCCATCTTCTCGGGCTTCTACGGCGACGCGGCCGAGCCCGCGGCCGACGCGGAGCCCGCGGCGCCCGCGGAGCCCGCGGAGCCGGAGCCCGCGGCGCCGACCCCGATCGCGTTCAGCGGCTCCGCGGCCGACATGCTCAAGTCCATGGGCGCGGCCGTGCCAGAGCAGCAGCCGCAGACGTCCCTCGAGGACGCGCGCGCGGCGAAGCAGAAGCTCGACGCGGACAAGGTCTGCACGGACGAGCACTGCACGGAGGACCACGCGCACGGCCACGACCACGGCGACGGCGAGGTCTGCACGGAGGACCACGGCCACGGCGGCCACGACCACGGCGGCGACCACGCGAGCCACGACCACGCGAGCCACGACCACGCGAGCCACGACCACGACAGCCACGACCACGACCACCACGAGGAGGAGCCGGCCCACGCCCACGATCACCACGAAGAAGACTCCGGCCACAAACACGATGAGCCGGCCCACGCCCACGATCACCACAAGGAGGAGCCGGCCCACGCCCACGATCACCACGAGGAGGAGCACGAACACGAGGAGGAGCCGGCCCACGCCCACGACGACGACGCGGTCCACGCCCACGACGACGACGACGAGCCCGAGCCGACGGTCGTGCGCCCGGCGCAGCCGGCCCTCGCGCCCGGCACGCGGGTCATGTGCCGCTACGGCAACGACGCGGAGTTCTACGCGGGCGTCGTCGACGGCGGCGGCGGCGGCGCCTACTCCGTCGCCTACGACGACGGCGACGTCGAGACGGCCGTCGCGCGGCGCCGGCTCTACGTGCCCGGCCAGGTGCAGGCCGAGGCGCTCGAGGTCGGCGAAACCGTCGACGCGGTCTGCGACGCGCGCGACGGCGACGTGCTCCCGGCGACCGTGGCGTCCCGGTTCGACGACGGCACCTACGAGGTCGCCTTCGACTTCGGGCCCGGCGCCGTGGTCCCGCGGTCCAAGATCTTCGGCGAGTTCCACGACCCGGAGCGCGCCGCGTCGCCGCGGCCGAAAATGGCGACGCCCGTGAAGGCCCTCGCGGCCCGGGCGCCCGACGTCGTCGAGCCCGTCGAGGGCCCCGACGCGCCGGCGTCGCCGGACGTCGTCGAGGACGTCGAAAAGCCCGGCGTCGACGACGCGCTCGCCGTCGGCCGCCGCAACAACTACGAGACGCCCAAGGGCGAGGCGCTGACCTTCGACAACGACGACTTCTCGCCGAAGAAGGCGAAGAAGCCCGTCCTCCACGACCACCACGCCAAGCAGGCCGCGCCGCCGTCGCCGAAGGTCGCCGAGGCGCGGGGCCTCGCGGCGCGCGGCGCCGAGGACGCCGTCCGCGAGGCCGCGGCCGGCGTCCTCGCGGCCTCGCCGAGCCGCGAGGCGTTGGATGACGGCGCGGCGCCCCTGGCCATGGGCGCCAAGGTCCTCGCGCGCTACGGCGAGGAGCGGACCTTCTACCCCGCCGTCGTCACGGGCGTGCACGCGCGGTCGTACGCGATCCTCTTCGACGACGGCGACCGCGACGACGACGCGCCGCGGCGGCGGCTCAAGCTCCGGGGCCAGCGCCAGGTCCGCGACCTGGCGCCGGGCACGGCCGTCGACGCCGTCCGCAAATCCGCGGACGGCCGCGTCGTCGCGGCCGCCGTCGTCGCCGCGGGCGCCGGCGGCTGCCGCGTGCGCTTCGCCGACGACGGCGCCGAGGAGACCGCGGACCGCGACGACGTCTTCGGGCCCTTCGTCGACGACCGCGACGCGGCGCCCGTGGGCACGGTCTGCGACTGCCGCGAGGCCGAGGGCGGCGCGTACGCGCCGTGCACGGTCACGGCCGTCGACGCGGCGACGGGCTCGCACACGGTCTGGCACGCCGACGCGCGGCGCGAGGAGGCCGGCGTGTCCCGGCGGCGCCTGCGCCTGCGGGGCATGGTGCCGCCGTCGCGGCTCGACGTCGGCGAGGAGGTCGACGCGTGGCGGTCGACGACCGGGTCCGTCGTCGCGGGAGTCATCGTCTACGCGCACGCGAACGGCTCCTACACCGTGCGCTTCGACGACGACGACGCGGAGCACATCGTCGAGTTCGCCGCCATCTTCGCCGAGGGCGTCTTCCCGGAGCTCGCCGCGTCGCCGCGCTACGTCGGCGACAGCGCGCGCGCGCCCCCGAGCCCGCGCGTCGACGCGCCCGCGGTCGTCGCGCCGCCGCGCGAGGGCGCGGAGGAGCCCGCGGCCGAGGAGCCCGCGGCCGAGGAACCCGCGGCCGAGGAGCCCGCGGCCGAGGAGCCCGCGGCCGAGGAGCCCGCGGCCGAGGAACCCGCGGCCGCGACGCCGGCGAAGGCCGCGGCGGCGAGCCCGCGGCCCGCCGCGGCGCCGCTCGAGGCCGGCGCGGCCGTCTTCTGCCGGTTCCAGCAGGACGCGGAGTTCTACCCGGCCACCGTCGTGCGCGACAACGGCGACGGGACCTACGCGGTCCTCTTCGACGACGGCGACGAGGACGACGCCGCGAACCGGCGGGCCATCTACCGCCCGGGCCAGCAGCAGCACCAGATCCTCGTCGCGGGCGAGCGGGTCGACGCGGTCTGCCCCGGCCGCGACGACCTCGTGCTGCCGGGCCGCGTCGAGGCGGACCTCGGCGGCGACCGCTACGCCGTGCGCTTCGACGCCGGCTCCGGGAGCCCCCGGGGCCCCGAGGAGCTGCCGCGGACGCAGATCTTCTCCGACTTCTACGACGTGCCGGCGCCGCGGCCGCTCACGGCGCCGCCGCCGGACATACAGATCGACGTGCCCGCCGCGGCGTCGCCGCGGTCCCTCGAGAGCCACGAGCACCACCTCATGGCGAGCGACGCGGACCACCCGACGAGCCCGCACGCGGGCGCGTTCGACGACGTCGACAAGCAGAGCCACATCAGCTCCGCGGCCTTCAGCGAGCACATGGAGGCGCAGTTCGACGACGCCTTCGACGCCTTCAACGACCAGGAGGGCTTCCCGCCGGACTCCGCGTCGAGCGGCGGCTTCGACCGCGGCGAGGACCACGTCTCCGAGCCCTCGCGCGACGACGACGACGACGGCGACGAGGGGGACGACGACGACGGCGAATTCTAAGGGTCCGGGGCGGCGCGGCGGTGGGCGTAGGGCCGCGGGGCCTCGGCGCCGTCGTAGCGCAGGCGGACGGCGCCGTTGAGCGCGGCGACGGCGCAGCGGCGCGCGCACGGGCTCATGATCAGCGTGTCCGCGGACGCCGCGCGCTGCTGGTGCGCGCCGGGCTTCGACATGCGCCGCGCCCCGAGGGTCATGGCCGCGTCGAGGTGGCGCGAAAAGGCGTCGAGGAGACGGCCGACGTCGACGCCCGCGGCGCGCGCGGCGGCGAGCGTCGATTCAAGCCGCGATACGCTCGCCGCGTGGATCGCCGCCTCCGTGCGGAACTCGACGTCTTCCGCGCCGACGGACGCCTCGCAGGCGCGCCGCGCCTCCGCGCGCGTGCCGCCGCCGCCTTTGGGGTCCGCGCGGTACTTGGCGAGCGGCGGGAGCACGTCGCCGAGCTGGAGGCCTGGGCGGGAACGGGGCGATTCAACTTCGCTTCAAATTGGGTGTTCCGCGCGCGCGCGCGTTCCAAAAAAACACCCACGCTTCGAGAGCGCTCCGAGGGATGATCGCTCGTCCAAGAATCAGCCGAAACGAACGGCCGAGATCGGAGCCTTTGAAGTTGGCCGTGTCGCGCCCTTTTCCCGCCCTGCGTCGCGCGGTGCCGGAGCGCGAAGGCCACGAGCGACTCGTTGTAGCGCTCCTTGACGACGATCGTGTCGAACTTGGCCATCTGGCGCACGCCCGCCTCGACGAGGCTCGCGTTCGTCCAGGTCTCGTTGAGCTTCTCGAAGTGCTTGGCGCCGTGGACGCCCCAGAATTTGAGCGCCACTCCGAGGCCCCGCGCGCAGTCCGCTTGTTCGCCGCGGAGGAGGCGCTTCTCCGCCGAGCTCGCGAGGCGCGCCAGGGGCTCCCGCGCCGTCGTCACGAGGTCCACGGCGGGGCCGTCGAAGTAGTCGTGGAGCCACGCGCCCCAGCCCCGGTGGCCCAGGGCCCACTTGGGCGCCGTCCGGCCCGGCGCGGCGACGACGCGGTCGAACTCGCCGCTCTTCGTCGACACCCAGGACGGGATGGACCGCGCCGCGGCGATCTCCGCGAGCAGGTTCGCCGCCGTCGACGACCCCGTCTCCGGCACCTTGAGGAGCACGACCTGGGCCGAGAGGTTGCGCGACGCGAAGGACGGTGGCACGACGTGGCGCTCCGCCGCGCCGGCGCCGGCGAGCGCGCCGCAGTCGCAGGGCCTCGCGGGCTTCGACGCGCTCGCCAGCGCGCACACGACCAGGAGCGCGAGCTGCATCATCTCATGAGAAGCTGCTGCCCCATAATTTTGTGCGTCAACGTTTATTCTTGCACCGTCAAGGTGCGCGATGGGGCAGCTCATCATGCAATGAGAACGCTAAAAGCACGCGTGCTCGCGCTCGCGGCGCTCGCGGGCTCGTCGACGGAGCTCTGCGACGAGGCCATCGCCGTGGCGCGCAAGCTCGATTCGAAGAAGGCGCTGGCGGCCCTCGACGGCGCGCGGGCGCGGCGCCTCGCCTGCGTCGACGACGTCGTCGCGCCCTTCGCCATGTGGGCGGCGCGCGCCGGCGACGACGCCCTCGCGAAGAACGACCTCAAGGCCAGCGTGGGCCTGCTGGGGGTCGCGCGGTCGCTGGCGCCGACGGATCCCACGCTGGCCGCGAAGTTCGTCACGGCCCTGCAGTGGGCCGGCTACGCGACGACGGCCGACGGCGTCGTCGCCGCGGCCCTCGGCGCGGGCCTCTGGCCGTCGAAGTGGCAGCGGCCGTCGGAGTACGACGCGGCGCTCGCGTCCGCGCCGTTCCCGGCCGCGCCGCCCGCGCTCCGCGCGTGCGTGGACGACCTCGAGGCGGCGTACGCGGCGCGCGGCGACGCCATGCGCGCCGAGGCGGCGGCGCTCCTCGCGGACGCGCGCGAGCCGCGCGAGGGCCTCCAGGCGCCCGGCGGCGGTTCGTGGCTGTACGTCGTTTTGGACGCGGCCGCCGACACGGCGCTCGGCGCGGCCGCGCGGCGCCTCGAGGCGACCTGCGGCCTCCAGAACGCGGGCGTGTCGAGCCTCGACCCCGGCGCGCACCTCCGCCCGCACACGGGCCCGACGAACCGGCGCTGGAGCCTCCACCTCGGCCTCGACGTCGCGGAGGCCGACGAGGCGCGGCTGGAGCTCCTCGTCGGCGGCGAGCGGCGCGAGCGGCCCTGGCGCCAGGGGTCCGTCGTCCTCTTCGACGACTCCTTCGAGCACGAGGTCCGCCACGGCGGCGCCGCGCGGCGCGTCGTCCTGGACCTCTCCGTCCCCCACCCGGACCTCGGGAGGGACGCGTCCATGTACCGGGATGAGTTTTAGCTCTTCACGGCGGGGAGGGCGTTGTCGTCGGTGGGGGAGAGCGCCATGAGCAGGACGAGAACGAGCGCGCCGTAGAGGAGCGGCGCCTCGAGCGCGAGCAGGCCCAAAAGGGACGCGTTCGCGCCCGAAAGCTCGGGCAGCGCGACGGCGGCGACAAGGAGGCCCTCGAGCGCGAGCGCCTTGGCGTCGCGGCGGTACGCGAGGCGCACAACGGCGCCCGCGGCGAACAATGTGGCCCAGCGCGCCTCGGGCCCGAAGGGCGCGTGCCGCGCCGCGAGCGCCGCGACGGCCGCGGAGGCGGCGAGGACCGGGAGGAATGCCCCGCGGCGCCGCGAGCAGCGCGCGGCCGCGCGCGCGCACGCGAGCGGCACCAGCACGGCGAAGAGCAGGAACGCGGGCGCGGCGGCGGGCGACGCGGGCGACGCCGCGGGCGACGCGCGGAGCGCCGCGCGCCACGCGCGCACGCCGGGCAGGAACGGCGCGGCGGCGTCGTGCCAGGGCTTGACCTACGATTGTTCAAGAACGTCTCGCTCGAAAAGCTCCAGTTTCGCTCGAGAAACTGTCGCTCTCGTCGAAGAAGTGATTCCCGCGCGGGTGCTCGCCGGGCCGAGCGAGTAGTGGAGGATGTTGGGCGCGTCGTCGACGCCGCGCGCCCAGAGCAGGGGCCAGTCGCCGTTCCAGGCGTTCGGCAGGCGGCGACATCGGGCCACGTCGTCGCCGTCGCCCTCGAAGGCCGGGCAGGCGGCGAAGTTGCCGTAGTAGCTGTTCAAGAAGCCCTGGTCGCCGCCCGTGTAGCTCGGCAGCGCGTCCGCCTGGGCGCGCATGTCCTCGAAGACGCGCGCATCCGGCCGCACGACTAAAACGCCGCTGTTGAGCAACTCGCCATGGCGCAGCACCGCGCAGAGGGACGCGCGGCAGCCGAAGAGCGCGTCGACGGGGCCGAGCGCGATCGCGTCCGCGTCCGCGTACACGACGACGTCGTAGGGCAGGCGCCAGAGCTCGAGCTTCGAGTAGGCGAAGCGCAGGCGCGAATTGCTGACGTGCGTGTCCGACGGCCGCGACGCCGCGGCGACGTCGTGGAGCGCCCAGCCGCCGGTTGCTAAGCGCTGGCGCGCGCCGCGCGGCACGCCGCTCGTCGCGAGCGTGACGAGGGCGACGTCCTTTTCTCTGAGGTGTGCTTTGATCGACGCGCCGAGCGCGAGCGCGCCGTCGACGAAGGACTCGTCGTAGAGCAGCGTCGCGACGGCGCGGCGCTCGGTGCCCATGCTCTCTTGCTCATTCAACATCAGTGCGCTTGAAGTGCTCCGAGCACCTCCGCGCCGTCATCTTAACCGTCATCGCGAGCGCGCTCCACGCGGCGCACGGCGTCGACGACGACGTCTTCCAGCACGCAATGGCCATCCTGAGCCTCGTCCGCGACGGCACCTTGGTCGAGCGGCTGCGCTCCGCGTAGCCCGACGGCGTCACGGTGCTCCGCGTAGGCCGACGGCGTGCTCCGTCTCCCGAGCGCACGCCTTCCGAGCGCTCCTCCTCCCACATCCCCACCGCGAACCCAACCTCCTCCGGACCCGCGTAAGCGCCTCGGTCGCCGACGCCGCCGTCGGGCGACGAACCTTCAACGATGAATTCAACATTAACGTCATGGGCCACTGCGGCACGTGCAAGCGTGCTCTCCTAGTCCCATAAAAGCTCGAGCGACACACGCCCATGCTCAACCAGAGCTTCCGCACGCCGCAATCGCTGCCACTATAGCGCGCGATTCTGAGCTGTAAGTATCTGACAACCATGCGCACCGTAGCAGCCGCCCTCCTGGCGGGGAAGACGCTCGCGTGCGCCCCCGTGTCGACATTCACCCCCGGGCTGCCCCACGCCCAAAACATCGAATGCGGCAGCCCCGGGCAGCTGCTCTGAGGTGGCGGAAGCCAAAACTTCAAAATGTCGTCGCGCGCCGTCCGGTCCACTGGGGCGCGCCGCGCGCCCCCGGCGGGCCGGTCTGCGGGGCGCGCCGCGCCGGGGAGGTCCGCCCGCCCGCGCGCCGCGCGCCGCGCGCCAGCCGTTCCGCCCGGTCAACAGTCAGCAGCACCAAAAACTTCAACCCTCCTTAGGTCCTACACCCTGATCGCCAACTACATGCCCGAGACCGACGTCGTGCCCCACTCCGAGGTCGACCTCGACATGGAGGAGATCTCCGCGGCCGTCGACTCCTACGACTGGACGCAGGCCGAGTTCGTCTACTCGAACGGCGGCGGCGGCCTCTGCTCCTCGTCGGACATCACGACGACGGACACGACGGACTCGTGCTACGGCCACACGACGGCCGACGCCAAGGGCAACTCCGTCAAGGACAACGGCGCGATCCGCACGCTCCGGGGCTTCGCGACGTCCGGCGCGTCGAAGATGGCCGAGGAGACGTGGTGGCCCGTCTACAAGAACTACTGGGGCGACGACGACTACGCCGACACCTTCGTGCTCAAGGCCTTCGACGGCGGCGCCTGGGCCAGCAAGGACGACCTCATGCGCGCGGAGCTCGTCAAGAAGGGCGTCGCGTACCAGGCGGTCTGGATGTACGTGCTCCACGAGTTCGAGGACGCGATCAAGGACTGCCTCAGCGGCGACATCTACGACAACGACGCGACGACGGCTGGCGACTCGCCCCACGCCTGGGACGAGGGCTGGGCCTTCTACGCGGGCTCCATCGAGGGCACGGACGGCTCCGGTTCGGGCCAGATGCTCTTCCAGCTCGCCGAGAAGCGCTGCGCTGACTTCGGCACGTGCGCCGACGGCATCACGGGCGACGCCAACGTCAACACCAAGGCCCTCACCTACGCCGAGCTCGGCCGCGACAAGATCCTGCTCGGCATGTGCAGCGACGTCGCCACGGAGTTCGACCTCATCGTCGACCAGATGACGATCCCCCTCATCCAGGGCATGCTCAAGTACGCGTTCAAGGCCGACCCGGCGAACACGCAGGGCTCGTGCACGGACGGCGACTGCCCCAAGGAGTGGGCCGAGGGCTGGGCCTTCGCCGCCGCCGTGCTCCCGCGCATCCACTACTGCTCGTCGAGCGTCGCGGAGGTCATCGTGGACAACCTCTCCGTGGACGCGTCCGCGCCCATGTCCGTCAACGGCTACGAGTACCTCAAGACCCAGGTCGAGAAGACCTACTCGTGCCTCGGCATCACCTGCGCGGAGGTCGGCGAGTTCCAGAACACCGCGGGCGTCTACGACGGCATGGACGCGTGCCTCGACAACTACGAGGTCATCGCCGGCTACGAGCCCGCGACGGACGTCGTGCCCCACTCCATGGTCGACCTCGACATGGAGGAGATCTCCGCGGCCGTCGACTCCTACGACTGGACGCAGGCCGAGTTCGTCTACTCGAACGGCGGCGGCGGCCTCTGCTCCTCGTCGGACATCACGACGACGGACACGACGGACTCGTGCTACGGCCACACGACGGCCGACGCCAAGGGCAACTCCGTCAAGGACAACGGCGCGATCCGCACGCTCCGGGGCTTCGCGACGTCCGGCGCGTCGAAGATGGCCGAGGAGACGTGGTGGCCCGTCTACAAGAACTACTGGGGCGACGACGACTACGCCGACACCTTCGTCATGAACGCCATCAGCGGCGACTACGCGTCGCTGCCGGACAACATGCGCGACCAGCTCATCAAGAAGGGCGTCGCGTACCAGGCCGTCTGGATGTACGTCATGCACGAGTTCGAGGACGCGATCTCCGACTGCCTCGCGGGCGACATCTGGGACAACGAGGAGACGTCGGACGCGGGCGACTCGCCCCACGCCTGGGACGAGGGCTGGGCCTTCCTCGCGGGCTCCATCGAGGGCACGGACGGCTCCGGCTCGGGCCAGATGCTCTACCAGCTCGCCGAGAAGCGCTGCGCGGACTTCGGGACCTGCGTCTCCGGCACGTCCGGGGAGGCCAAGGCGAACCTCAAGGCCCTCGCCTACGCCGAGCAGGGCCGCGACAAGATCCTCGACGGCGACTGCGTCACGGTCCAGTTCGAGTTCGACGAGATCGTCAAGCAGCTCACGGTGCCCCTCGTCCAGGGCATGCTCAAGTACGCGTTCAAGTCCGACCCGGCGAACTCGCAGGGCTCGTGCACGAGCGGCTCCTGCCCCAAGGAGTGGGCCGAGGGCTGGGCCTTCGCCGCCGCCGTGCTCCCGCAGGTCCACGAGTGCGACCACACCGTCGCGTCGATGATCGTCGCCAACCTCGACGTCATGAACTCGGACCCCATGTCCGAGAACGGCTTCGAGGAGTTCAAGGAGTCCGTCGAGTCCGTCTACTCGTGCATGGGCATCACCTGCGCCGACATGGGCGAGTTCCAGAACTCCGCGGGCGTCTACGCGGGCATGGACGCCTGCGTCGACGGCTCGGGCACGGTCACCTCCTCCTCCTCCAGCGACGACGACGACGACGTCGACGGCATCCCCGTCGTCATCGTCATCATCCTCGCGGCCGTCGCGCTCATCCTCCTCCTCGTCGCCATCGTCCTCTTCTTCCAGTGGCGCAAGACGGAGACAAAGCTCTACGAGCTCGTGGCCAACGGCGACAAGGCCTCGAACAACATGCTCTAAGCACGCGGCCCCCCTGTTCCCCGCGCCCCGAGCGGCGACCGGCCCGCAAGGGGCCGCGTGTGCGCCCCCCCCTCCCCCTTCCCTCCAAACCTCCCCCTGCCCTGCGTTCGGCCCCCGCGCGCGACCGGCCCAGCTCGCCAAAGCCGCGGCCGTCGCGAGCGCCGAATTCGCCTCACTAACCACCGTGATTTGGTTGAACTTCAAGGTCGTGGGCTTGAACCTCCACCGCCCTCGAGCTCGATCGAGCTCGGCAGCCCAGGGACCAAGCAGAACACCGTCGACGGGGGGCGGCCGCCGGCGCGCGCGAAAAGTCCGGCGCGTGGCGCGATGGCCGAGGAAATCGACTGGATTGCGCTGCAGAGCCTAAAGATGGCGCAGGAAGCGGAGGACGACGCGGCCGAGCGGCACTACAGCAAAAAGGAGGCGCGGCTGTGCGATACTTTCGCATTTTTCTTGTCCAAGTACAAGGAGGTGAAGTACAAGGAGGGCGACTACGCCGGCGCGGAAGCGCTGTTCCGACAGACGCTCAAGATCTTCGAGAAACAGTTCGGGCCAGAGGGTCTGCCGGTCGCGTCTTTGCTTCGCGCCCATGCGCGGCTTCTTTGGGAAAGCAACCCCCTGTTCCCCGCGCCCCGCGTCGCTCCCCGCAAGGGCGATCTCGTCGCGGCGGAGAAGCTGTTCTGGCGAGTACTTGCGATCGAAAGGAAACATAGGGGGCCGGACCATGTGTATGTCGCCGAGGCGCTGGACTACCTGGCTCTCGTGCTCGAGGAGCAGGGCGAATACGCTGCCGCGGAGCTGCTGTACCGGCGGAAGCTCGCGATCAAAGAAAAGCGTTGGGGGCCGGAGAGCCAGGACGTCGGCTGCCTGAAGGAAGACGTGGCCCGGATGCTCGAGGCGCAGGGCGAATACGCCGCCGCAGAGCCGCTGTACCGGCGGGCGCTCGCGATCGAAGAAAAGATCTTCGGGCCGTTCCGGGATGACCCGCGCGCCTGCAACCTGAAGGATACTGTGAGCCGGCTGAAGGAAGCCGTCTCCCGGCTCGGCGGCGGCTGAGCGCCCGCTCCCCGGCCACTAAGAAGAACCAAGCGCTGACAGACTTAGGCCTCCTCGTCCCGGGGCCGCTTCTTCGTCGCCTCCTTCCACTTCTTCGCCATCTCGAGGATCTTGAGGTTGACGTTGGGCTTCGCGTCGTCCGGGAAGATGAAGTCGTAGTACTCCTCCGTGGCCTCCGGGTCGTCGTCGCGGGGCCGCCGCTTCTTGACCTTGCGGGGGAAGAGGCTCCGCGCGTGCGCGAGCTTGTCCGGCCCCTCGGCGGCCGCGTGGCGCTGCTCGAAGGCCGCCCACGCGTCGAGCAGCGCGACGCGGTCCTCGGCCGCGCCGCCCTTGAGCGCCGCGTGGCCCCGGCCGAAGACGTCGCGCGCGCGCGTCCGCGCGTCCGCGGCGCCGCGGCCCGGCCCCGCGGGCGCGGCCTCCTCGTAGGCCGCGTAGGACAGGTAGACCTTGACGTGGCCCGTGCGCTCGAGGAGCCGCTCGTAGAGCGTCGCGGCGCGCGGCGGCCCGCCCGCGGCGCCGTCGCCGTCGTCCTCGTCCGGGTTGTTCTCGAGGAAGATCTCGAGGTCGACGTACTTCTTCCACACGGCCTCGGGCTTGTCGAGCTCGGGCTGCTTGAGCGCGAGCTCGTAGACCGCGCGCGCGCGGTCCTGCTCGCCGACGGCGTGCTCCAGGTCCCCAAAGGCCGCCCAGGCCGCGGACGACGCCGGGTCGGCCTCGACCCACTTGCCGTAGATCGTGCGGCAGCGGTCGACCTCGCCGAGCTGCCGCTCCAAATGCGCGTAGCCCGCGTAGAGCTTCGGCTTCGCGAGCCGCCGGCACCGCCCTAAAGCCTCGCCGAGCACCTTGCGCGCCGCCGCCAGGTCGCCCGCGCGCACCTCGAGGTGCGCGGCGCCGAGCCAGAGCTTGCCGAAGGTGAAGCGGTCGTGGGGCACGACGTCGAGCGCCGCGCGGTAGACCGCGCGCGCGCGCGCGAGATCCCCGGCCTCGAGCTCCTCGAAGCACGCGTAGTTCAACCACAGATACACGTAGCGGCGCCAGTACTTCTTCTCCGGCGGCGGCAGATGCGACACCGCGCGCTCGTACGCGTCGCGCACCGCGTCCACGGCCGACTCGTCGAACCCCAAGTCCGCCGCGCGGCCCTCCTCCAACCGCACCAAATCGAACCAGGCGTCGTAGTCCCGCGGCTGGGACGACACCCGGGCCTCGTAGTCGCGGCGCCGCGACTCGGCGACGTGGCGCTCGACGTCGTCGACGGCGCCGTGCTTCTTCTCGAAGCGCAGGTAGGCGTCGTGGAGCTCGGGGAAGTCCGCGCGGTCGAGCTTCGTGGCCGCGAAGGCGTAGATGGCCCGGCACCGCGCGAACTCGCGCTGCTGCTCCTCGAAGCGCGCGAAGGCGCCGTAGAGCTTGGCCTCCTCGCCGTCCTCGAGCTCCCACTCGCCGAGCTCGCCGAGCGCGCGCTCGTAGACCTGGCGCGCGAGCGGGATCTGGTTCTGCCGCTCCTCCCAGCGCGCGTACTTGAGGTAGGACGCGAGCCGCGGGTGGCACGCGACGAAGCGCTCGAGGACGTCGCGGGCGCGCCGCGCGTCCTTGCGCCGCTCCTCGAACGCCGCGTACGCGTGCCAGGCCTTGTCGTCGGGCTCCCAGGCCATCCACCGCTCGAAGAGCGACCGGCAGACCGCATAATTCTCGACCATCTCCTCCATGTAGGTGTACTTGTACCAGAACTGGTCCACGCGCGGGAGCAACGTGACCGCGCGGTCCCAGACGTTCCGCGCGTGGTTCACGAACTTGTTCCGCATCTCCATCTCCGCGTACTTGAGCCACAGCGACTGCGACCGGTGGTCGATGTCGAGCGCGCGCTCGAAGACGGACCGGCTCCGCTCGAACTCCTCCTGCGCCTCCTCCCACTTGGCGTACTTGACGTAGTTGCCGAGGTGCACGCGGTTCATGCGGATCGCGTCCTCGAACTCCTTGCGCTTGTTCATGCGGTGCTCCCGCAGCTCCTCGGGGTCCGTGATCTGGGACCGCTGCTTCTGGCCGTGGCTGCTGCCGCCGCCGCGGTCGTGGGCCTCGCGCAGGAGCTGCTCCGCCGTGATCTGGATCGGCGCCGGCGCCCGGTTCTTGACCGCATACTTGCCGCTCATGGTCGCCCGGACGCCGGCGGCGCGGCGAGGCGCGCGAAGGTCGGCGGCGCGCGCGCGCGGGCAGGCGCTCGGCGGCGGCGGCGGGCGGCTCGGCGAGGGCAGTCGATCGAGCGCTCGACGGCGCCAACAACACCGAGCTGCGGCAACGCGCGCGCCGTCGGACCACGCGGCGCGGAGCCATCTTTCGGGCGCGTCCGCGCATGCTGCTGGGCCGCGTGCTGCTGCTGACGGCCGCGCACAGCGGGCGGCGGCGCATGGCGGCCCAGGCCCAGAGCTGCGACGCCTTCGAGTGGCACTGGCTGCGCGAGACGAAGAGCACGCAGGACGCCGCCAAGCAGATCCTGAAGCAGCGCGTCGTCGGGAACAGCAACGGCCACGACGGGAAGCACGTCGCCGTCGCGACGGCGCACCAGACGGCCGGCCGCGGCACGCGCGGCCGGACGTGGAACGACGACGGCCGCGGCAACGTCGCGCTCACCGTCGCGCTCGACATGCGCCACCTGCCCCTGAAACCCGTGACGCTCGTGCCCCTGCGCGTCGGCGTCGAGGTCGCCCGCGTGCTGGCGGACCACCTCGAGGACGCCCCGGGCTGCGCCGTGTCGCTCAAGTGGCCGAACGACGTGCTGCTCAACGGGAAGAAGGTCTGCGGCGTGCTCATCGAGGCCGACGGCGACGCCCTGCTCGTCGGCGTCGGCATCAACGTCGCGACGCACCCGGACGTGCCCCAGGCGGGCCCCGAGCGCGGCCGCGAGGCCACGTCGCTCGCGGCGTGCGGCGCGACGTCCGCTGACGCCGAGGCCATCGCCAAGGACCTCGCGGCGCACCTGTCGACGTGGGCCGACGGCGTCGACGACGCGCCGACGCTCGTGGCCCACTGGTCCCACTTCGTCGACTGGAGCCTGCCCCTCACGCTCCGCGACACGTCCGAGGTCGTCTCGCCCGTGCGGCTGCTCCCGGACGGCCGCCTCAGGGTCCGGCCGGCCGCCGGCGGGCCCGAGCGCGACCTCGTCGCCGAGTACCTGCTCTGAGGGAGGGGGGGCGCAGAGCAGCCCGCATTAATAGAGGCGGGGACTGGGCGATGCACAATAATGTAAAATAATTCAATAAGTAAGAATTCTCAGGCTTGTATGTCATTGTCAATAGAAACTAGCGAAGGACAGTTCCAGGAGATCGTGAGAGACATGGCCCAGGAGAAGATGCCCCGCCGTCGCTTGTCCACGTAGCTCGGGTCGTCCAGGAAGACGTGGACGAGGACCTCGGGGACGAGAGAGCGCGCGCGGCTCTCCCGATTTCGGACGATCGCGGCGGCGAGGTCCGGGTCGGCGACGTTCGCCCACGTCCGCTCTGAATCCCATAGATCCTTGACGACGGCGGCGACGCCGCGAATCGTGCTCGAGATGTCGTCCGCGCCCGCGACGGCGGCGTGGACGCCCATCGCCACCGCGGCCGCGGCGTTGTTCACGACCGCGTTCATCCTCATGCCCAGGCCGAGCCTCGCGGCGGCGACGTAGCGCGAGACGAGCGCCTGGCGCACGCGGTCGACCTTCCAGAACGGCAGGACGAGCCGTCGCTCCGCCTTGGACGTCGCGGCGAGCGAGAGCATGTCGCGCCAGTGCGAGAAGTCGACGACGGCGCGCCGCACGTCGTCGGGCGCCTGGCCCCACCGGGGGAGCGCGTGGACGCGGACGCACCACAGGATCAGGTTCGCGCGCCGGCCCCGCTCGAGCGCCGTCGCGCCGTGCGGCGCCGCGCCCGAATGGACGAGCGCGCGGCCGCGAAACTGGCGGAGGAACGCGCACTCGCTCCCCGTCGTACGGGTCGCTCCAGTGTAATGACGGAGAAACCGCCCTTCGACGAGTTTCGCGATCTCCGGCTCCTCGTCGCCTTTGACGTCGATCATCTGGCTCCGTTCGTTCGACAGCCGGAAGAAGAGCTCGCCGCCGTCGTACTCGTCGTCCGGCGTCAGGGGCACGTTGAGCGTGACGTCGACGCGCGGGTCCACGTGGACGTCGTGCGAGCTCACGGCGTCGTCCGCGTCGTAGGTGACGACGAACGCGCGCGCGAGCGCGACGCGGAAGCGCTCGTGCCGCGCGCCGACCGCCGCGACGAGCCGGTCCGCGCCGCCGGCCACCAGCGCGCGCGTCGGCGCGTCCATCTCGTCGAGCTCCGTGTGGCGCGCGTCGCCGCCGCGCTGGCGGTCCACGGCGGCGCGACACGCCTCGAGCCACCGCTCGTCGACGGGGCCGCAGGACTCGACGCGCAGCCCGCCGGAGATGATGTCCTCGAAGTGCATCGTGTGGTATACGGTTCCGCGTGCAGCCGGGTCAGCGCCGGACGCCGGGCTATGGAAAGAGGAGACCCATACTTACGGCTGTGGATCACCTTCGCCAACTTTGGCTGCATCATTTTGTTTGTCCCTCAACACGAGCTCAACCGCGGCGCGTGCAACACGCGATGGGGCTGCCCAAGCAAGGGCCGATCCTCAGCACGCGGCGCGTGCATCTCGCGATGGGCATGCCCAAGCAAGGGCTGCTGCTCCTGTTGTTCTTTGCCACCGCCGCGAGCGACGACGCGCGGGCGCCGGCGCGGGCGACGACGGCCTGCGAGCGGCGCGTGCTGTCGGCGCAGAAGCCATCGTCGCTCGCGGCAGCCCAGCTCGCGGCGCTCGAGACGACGGCCGTCGCGTCGATGCGACGCGCCGACCCGAAGACGCTCGAGGTCTTCGGCCACCTGCCGCACTCCGGTGGGAGCGCCTGGAGCTGGCGCCTCGCGAGCGCGTTCCGCCCGAGCGAGATCGCGCCCGGCTCGGGCTTCTCCAAGGGCTACAACGTCCAAAACCCGGACCCCTGGGTCGCTGAGGCGCGCGGCTGCGGCCGCGCGAGGCAGCGCCGGGATCCGCTGGCCGCCGCGGGCTCCGCGGACGCGGCCGCGGCCGCGGGGGCGCCCTGGCGCGTGCTCTACTCGCACGACGGCGTCGGCTGCGCGGGCCGCAACGGGACGCTCGCCGCGGCCGTCGGCGGCGCGCCCTGGCGCCAGGCCACGATGCTCCGGGGCCCATTGGACGCGGCGCTCCAGGCGCGCGCGCCCTGGTTCGGGGCCGCGGCCGCGGCGCTCGCGGCGAACGCGACCGCGGGCGCCGCGCCGCGCCTCGCGCGGTTCGCCGCGCGGCTCCGCTACCTGTCGTCGGGCTGGCCGACGCGGGGCAGCGACGCGCCGCCGGGCCGGGATCCGCGGCCCGCCGCCGCCGGCGCCTGGGCGCCGCTCGACCGGCAGACGCGGTGGGTCCTCGGCGGCGGCGGCGGCGCGGCCCACTCCTTCGCCTGCGCGGCCGTCGCCGAGCCGCCGTCGGTCGTGCGGGCGGCCGAGGCGCTGGCGGCCATGCCCTGGTTCGGGCTCCAGCACCGCTGGCTCGAGTCCGCGTGCCTGTGGCACGCGACGTCGCGCGTCCCGTGGCCCCGCGAGTCCTCCGCGGCGTGCCCGTCGCCCATGCGCTGCGAGGCGCCGGCGAAGCGCGAGGACGACCGGCGGCGGCTCAAGGCGTTCGGCAAGGCGCCCGCCGCGGGCTGCCGGCCCGAGGTCTGCCCCGCGGACGCCGCGCTGTCGAGAACGTCCGTCACCAAGGACAACGTGCTCCTCGGCGGGTCGACGAGCTGCCTCCTCCGGGAATTGTGCCTCGCCGCGGGCGACGACTTCTTCGACGCGCTCGTCGCGCCCCTCGCCGCGCCGTCGCCCGACGACGACCTCCTCGCCGCCGCGGAGGCCATGTTCGACGCGCGCGTCGCCGCGGCCGCCGCGGCCGCGCGCGAGCCGCCCGTCCGCGACCTCCTCCACCCGAGCTGCTTCCGGCGCCCGCCGCCCCGGGGGTTCGGCGCCTAGTGAGACGACGAGTTCGTTCGCGAGGCCATCGCGCGACGAAGCCTTCAAGAAGCCTTCAAGAGCTCAGCCTGGCGTCGTCTGCGAGTTTTCCTCGAGCCGGCGCCGACGGCGAGCAAATTTGGAGTGGCATAAACCGGCCGCTTGTGCGCGGGTCCGCGGCGCGCGACACCGTCGCCTCGTAGCGCCGCGCGCACGAGACGAGACGCTCCCGAAACAGCCATGGCGAATCCGGCGCCGAGCCGCCTGACCATGTGCTGCCTGAGTCCGCTCCTGAACCCGGACCGCGACGACGAGTACTACGACCTGCTGGGCTGCGACCGGCGCGCGTCGGCGGCGCAGATCAAGAAGCTCTTCCGCCAGAAGAGCATCCGCATGCACCCGGACAAGTTCGCGCAGCGCGGCGAGGCCATGACGCCCGCGGACGTGCAGGCGTTCCAGCGGACGAAGGAGGCGTACGAGTGCCTCGGCGACCCCAAAAGGCGGAAGATCTACGACCAGCTCGGCGAGCTGGGGCTGAAGCTGACGGAGAACCCGGCGTCCGTGCCGCCGGAGACGCTCATCAAGGCGCTGTCGAAGATGTCGGAGCAGTGCCGGTGCTGCATCCTCCTGTCGGCGTTCGCGCTCGTCGCGTTCTTCTTCCTCTTCTTCCCCGTGCTCCTGTCGCTCAACGTCGACGGGGACGCGGACGTGCCCTGGGCCGTGGTCTGGCTGCCGCTCTGGGTCTTCGACGCGTTCCTCGTCGTGAACCACGTCGGCTGGATCTACGAGGGTTTGGTCGAGGCGCCCGCCGCGGGCCCCGTCGACGAGGAGCTCGGGTCCGGCGGGCCCGTCGGGGCCGAGGGCGGGCCCGACGCGCCGGACGGCGACGACGACGAGGAGGAGGACGACGCGCGGGCCCACGACGACACGCCGGTCGTCGCGCGCGCGTTCCTCCTCGGCCAGCTCCTCCTCGTCGTCGCGTTCCAGGCCGCGCTCGTCTGGAAGCTCGACGGCGACAGCTCCCGCGGCGCCTGGCTCCCGGTCTTCGCGCCGCTGCTGGTGCGGGAGCTCCTGGGCGCGCTCTTCCTCCTGCCGGGGGGCGTCGTTAAAGTCGAGCCGCCGGAGTGCGACGACGACAGCGAGCCGCTGGACCCGAACCAGTCCATCGAGAAGGAGCTCAAGACCATCGCCTACGTCCAGCAGCTCGAGATCCGCGACCGGCACCGCCTGGCCCTGCGGTCCGCGGCGCTCCGGGTCTGCCTCGAGGTGCTTTTAGTGTGCAAGCTCGCGGACGCGCCAAAGGGCGCGGGCGCGGCGTTGAACTGGTGGGGCGTCTTCGCGCCCCTCTGGGTCTACTGCGCGCTGCAGCTCAACCGCTGCTACCGCTTCGCGGCGGCGTCCAAGGCCATCTCCGCGACGATCACGCCGCCGCCGCCGGGCGCG